TACTTGATCTGTAGAAATTACAACCTTTTTGCAATATTGGTAGATTTTGGAAGCATAAACTCTGATCCATGATAATTAGTAATTTTAATGGATTTTTGAAACTATATTCAAATGAATGGATCCCTTCGGACTTTGTTAAAGCCCTTCGCCGATGTTTATATATATTGATGTGAATTCGTTGCAATAGCATCAACGGAAAACACCTGATATTTTTGAATTTTATTAGAACGGAAAATGGAATGTCAACGACGCAAAAAAAAATTAATTTATGCGGGCGGATCGCGGTGAACCTTGCCGTGTCAATGGAAGAAGTCATTGTGCTTCTGCTCCGAAAACAAAATTAAGAGAACTAGTTTCTTTCTTTTGCACATCCATAATACTAAGGACACGTTTGGTTTTATTTTTGGATGTGACTTACGTGGACTCCAAATGCCCTTACGACAGTCCCGGATTGGTCTATTATCTTGTGAATATGAATAATCATTTTAATATGTCATGGTTAGCATCATCAAAGAAGATCCTTGATCTGCATTACTGTTGAAAGATTTCCATGAATTTTTTTTGCCGTGTGGTGAAGATAAATAGTTGAAGAATGTGCTGGAGCAGTGTGCGAAATTTTACAGATTTAATTTATTATCTTAGCAACAAACTTTTTATGACTAACGCGTCGTAAGTTTTTTTATGGAAGTATGTGATCATAGGTTCTGTCTTATAAATGACCGAAACTGAATGATTAAATATTTGCTTAGATGTAGGTAAGTTGAGTTAATCAACAGTCACTTTAAATTAATGGTCAATATCTTAGAAAAAACTATGGGCGCGCGTAATTTATGCAGAACTCTCGCCACTTCTTCGTCCTTGACCCCAGAAAATCATGACATTTAGTGGCTTTTTGTGAATTTCGCTTCCCTAAATTGCCGCTTCCCGACCCCAATTTAGTGATCCATTCGCATACAAAGTTTTTACTTTCCCATTATTATTTATCACCATCCTACAATTCATACTTAAGGTAATTAACACGTACACTACAGCGCGTAATGCAAGTAATTATCTTATTGTGAAGACTATTCGATTGAATAAACAATTTAAATGATGCGTGGTTCAATAGCCGTTTTTGTAGTTGAACGCGGAAATAGTAAAGAGCTAATTGGTGCATGTAATGCACAACACATGTTATGCTAATTTCGTGTAAACCTCGTCATTACGCAATTCCGTATTTAAGAATCTAATAAATTCTGTGGATGGTTTTAGAAACAGACCCTAACATTTTAAGGAATCAGTTTCGTAATTTGGCGAATTTGGATCTCCCGAGCCTCGAATTTAGTTCCCAAAAGATATTGCTTTGTAAATAAAGATTCGAGACGACTATAGTTCCAATTGAAATTGTGGGAAATCACCGATTTCTTCAAACCACGAATTGCGTAGCGAGAGATGAGGACAGATGATAAACCCCAGTAACGGGAGTCCGTTACGGAATAAAATTTTTTCGATTTTTTAGGAGTAGGGCGTAAGTTACGTATTTGCGTGTGAAAAGTTATGAGCGCCGCCGTAAGCAAAATTAATGGGTTGTACGTGACGGTCCCGCTGAATCAGATCCGTTTCCTTATTACGCAGCCTGGGAACTGCCAACTCTGTGGAAATTTTCAACTAGGCCAGTCGAGGTTTGTGACAAATGGGTTTTCTGAAGACATGGTTGGTTAAAGGAGACGAGTTTTATTGGTAGAACCGATTAGAAGCCACTTTTAGGGCGTAGTTTTGGAAAAAGAATATGGCCGGTAGTGCTTCCGTGGAAGGTAGCCACGAAAGCGCTAGTTTTTTGAAACGCGGCCATAGAGTAGAAATTACGCATGAAACTGCATGAAAAGCAACATTCAATTCCGCTAGACCACATAAGCAAACTAGGATTTATGAACGGCTACAGTGACGCACTTTACGCACTTGTTCGTCTTCGCAACGATATCCTCTATTTCAGCCACGAAATTTTAATGTTTTGCATTTAGAACTTCTGCTGTTGTTCGTATTTACCGTAATAGTTTCTAAGTCGTAAATTATCCCTTGTAACTACAGCCACCGAAACTTAAATTTCGGCCGCATTTGTTTTACACGTAATCAACTTTGCTGAAATAAAAGCACAGTTTTTTTATTCCTAAAAAATGCACTAAAAAGTAGCGTGGGAACGAATTCGCGTTGAGCCGCGAGCGCGGATATGTCAGCCTGAAGTTACATTCGCTTTTTTTAAGGGAATTCGCTTTTGGGGTAGTGCCAACCTAAACGGGAAAACAAAAAAAAAACTAGGATCGGGCTGAACTTACATTCGTTTTTTTTGTTTGTTTTTTAAATCAACGGCCTTCGAAAGTGATGGCACCGGGACCAATTCTCATCCCCTTTTTGGAAAATAGCCCTAAACCCCGACAAATTCGTCCCCGAAGTTGACAAATTGCGCAAGTGTGTGAGTGAGTGAGTTTTGCACGCGGAGGATATGGGCGCCGTGGAGGCCCAAGGGCGCACCTAAAACCCCCTACCTGTCGTTTTTCGAAAAGTGACCCACAGTTCGAGAAATTCCATTTTGTTTGGTCAATGGCGCGGTATACGAATAATGCAAGTTGCAATTCAAAATTGATTTATTATATTAAAATTGAGTGAGTTGTGCACGCGGAGGATAAGGGCGCCGTGGAGACCCAAGGGCCCACCTAAAACCCCCTACCTATCGTTTTTCGAAAAGTGCCCCACAGTTCAAGAAATTACAAATTTTAATAAATCAATTTGTATGTAACGAATGTAAACTTCAGGCTGGTGCCTATACCTTAAAGGTGTGCCAGCGAGTCATCATATTTCGCTGTCTTAAGCCCCCCCCCCCCCCCGGTGAATTATTTCCTGAGATGCTGTTTTTTAAAAGTAAAACGTGCATAACTTGGGACAACCAACTGGTCTCAGATTTTACATACGCATGCCTTTAATGGTGCCAAGTAAAATTATTGAACATGGGGGGATGGGGCTGGGGGTGACCACACGTTCTACCCTTCACGATACTCTAATGAAAAGTCTCACCGAAATGAATTGGTTTGTACAAAGTGTAACTTTCCTATCTGACTGACTCCTTTTCGAGATCAGTAGGGGGTAGAAATTAATTTTATTTTAGTGGTAATATAATTATAGGTCTCAACAAAAAGAACTGTTTTCTACCAACTAGATTGGATATAAATAATTCCTTATATCGCAAGAACATATTGTCGGAAGAGGGTACTCACAAAGGGCGATTGGGACGTCTAGAAGAACAGATATATCTATTGGTGATGTTAAAACTTTAAGGGCGAATATCTCGAAAACGGTTTATTCGAAGGCAAAATGAATTGTCTGGGCGTAACATATCTATTGGTGAAGTCGAAGCGGCTTGATTCTTCTTGCATTATATAGCGTAGATTTTGCATCTGCCAGGCAACCTTTAAAGGTTTATGTGTAAAGATCCTCCCCCCCCCCCCCCCATCAATCATCTACCTAAAAAGAAAACATCTATAAATATAGCATGCTACTACCTTATAACGCAACCATTTACTAAGCTATTTCGGTTTAAAAAACGCGCTTTATCTGTTATCTGTTAAATACGGTGATTCAACGGTAACAATCAATGTCATTAAAAAATTTGCGCACAAATCGATCACCGCAGACGAACGACGAATAGTTCATTCGCCTAATATTACGATGCTTTATTTCCGCACTATTGTTCGCATTTATCGTAATAGGTTAACATTTCCACTATTGCTCGTATTTTACGGTGATAGTTTCTAAACTGGAAAATGTTTTTTTTATTGTTTTTATTTTATAGTGGGCGGAGTGTTAGCTAATTGGCTATTCTTCCCACTCAATCACTATACACCGAGGCGCGTGGCGCAGTGGTTGCGCTCACCGATGCTATTCGGGAGGTCGTGGGTTCGAATCCCGCTCTGTCTGGGGTTTTGTCAGGGGGTTTTCTTCAGACATACGTAGATTCGCATAATGCTAGCATTATGTTGAAATCTACGAGGCGAATGCTGGAGCAGTACTCTCCCCCTCAGCACCCTAACTTTACCCATCCCTAACTTTACCCATCCTTACAATCCCGTTCTCTGGCTGAAGAGGGCCAGGAAGCCCTGAGCAGCACGCCTCCGGTATCCCTGTAGTCAGGGGTGCCGGAGGAATGAAACACGTTGGCCTTTTTCCTTTTTCCCACTATACAATCACATACAGCCATGCCTTACTTGGGATTCGAACCCAGGACCATTGTAGTCAAAGTCTCTTTTAAGCAAGTTTTTCGTGTTTGAGAGGATTTGAGGACCTTTAATTTGCTTTCAGACTGTTTTCAGTTAATCTTCAGCGCTTTTAAGAGCAATATGATATAAACGAGAATATTATTATTGTCATGTCTTTCATATAGACACTATTTCGCTAAATTGAAAAGCAGCTGTGCTAAAGTGCAATCAAAATTTAATCGTTATGTTCCGGTTTGACTGTAAATAAACTGTTATGAGCAATACTGGAGCAAAAGACGCAACTGTGTTGAAGAGGACAATGTTCCTTTTTTCAAATTTTTAAACGCATGGACAAGCCCAATTTTTAAAATGACCTCTAGTTCTCTTTTCTGCATTTTTTGTAATACCACCGAACGACAAAGTTTGAATGCGCCTGAAATAGTCTGGCAAAACCTACGCGCTAGAACCTAAAAATAGTTCGCTACAATGCAGAACATTGATAAATACAATAAAGCAAAACGAGTTTTATAGGTCCTGTTGATTAGTCGCCTCTTACGACACGCAGTGTCTCTGCGATAGGGGTATTCTACCGCCCGCCCCTACACAGGGATTTTAGATACAAGAAGTCATCAAAATGAGTGGAAAAAATTTAAATGCACGTTTCCCGTGAGAAATATTAGGGAGCCACTAATTACTAATTACTCTCCATCAATTTGTATACTTAATGTAGAAGTAGATTGAAAAACATATTCTAACTACTAATTTTTGTTTCAGGACAAATAAATATTTACAAAAGTCCTCTATTAGTAGGATATGTGCAGTAGGAGGATTCTTCATATCGATACCAGTATTTTTAACCGGTACAGTGCATCTGTCTAATCCATTGTATAAGTAATTAACTGTTTGATTTTATAGGTATAATACTGTACACGTTCATTCAGTTCCATTCGACACCTGCAATAGTCACAAGTGTGTTCATTGGACTCGGTATTATATTCTGCGGTTGTGCGATGGTGCACAACGTTTTTATTTGGCAACGTGAGAAAACGAACGCCGTTAAAGAACTGGCGCTGCAACAACACGAACAGTCCACAATTCAACATAGTTCCTTCCACAACATTACCGCTCCGTTAAATCAATCACACATGAGCAATTACAACCACAACTTTCTTCAATCACCGGCGCAGGTTCACAGTAATGGCCCATATTTAGTGAGGCCGTCTACGACGACGCCACCTACCGGAGAAAATCTAAACCTAACAAAAATGTCACATCCTCGGGAAGCGAGCGGTAGCGTTAGTCCGGGAATGCCAAACACGGCGCTTGACATGAGTAGTGTGGCAACAACAAACTCTCCGCATGAACTCTCGACGCTAGTGTGAAGAAAGTTTATTTGTACATAGACTTGTATAAAAAATTGCACTTCGTGCATTCCAGTATGTGTTATAATACAATACACAGCTATTTGTTGAAACTGGTGACCTGATACGTCTCTATCCTACATTAGGAAATATATATATGGAAATGAAAAAGACTTGTAATACTTAAATAAGCAGACATATAGGACTGTTTAATGTTCAAAAATTTGTCTCATATATTTATACTTAAATTAATAGTACAAATTGAATGGTTTCATACTACTACTTAAGTGGTTAATGGTTCTGCACCATACTGTATTAAAAAATGATGCCAAATTGTTATGTCTCTTGTTAAAGTATCAATTCAGTCATTGTTCTTGTCATTTTTGTAATTTTAATTGCACAAATAATTTTATACTGACTGTACATAATCGTGTAAGTAATATTTAACATTTATTACTTAAAATGGCAAGAGGGTATATAAGAACTACGTAAGGCTTTACTTTCCAGCGGTTGTTTCCAATTGCTGAGAAATTTCAAAGAATGATTAGTACAAAAATCAATTACCTATTTATAGGTTAATTAATATAATAAGGTGTGTACTTAATTTACTTTAAAAAAACAATTTACTATGCTGATATTTATGAAAAACTTGCCTATATTCTAAAATATAATTTTATATTATGTTACACATTTAGTCTCTGTCTTGACCTACCTCCTTTTAGTCTATGCCCATCTACTACATGCAGTGGTAGATATCATTCAAACACCAAGTTGGTATATTTTCGCATCATGAACAGGTTGAAGTTAACCACTGGTTCTGAATTCATCCTAGCAAAACTGATTTGCATTGTACCATTGCCCCTTTTGGGAAATTCGATTTTGGAAAATCATGGCTAACTTCACAAGAGCACCAGCAAGATGTCATATAAACCCTGAAACGATTAATGTATCTTCTTTGGAATTCAACATACCAAAACTCATTCTATCTCTGTCACTTTTAAAAAACATTTTGCCTCTTGCCGTTTTAAAAAAATCAGATTTCGAAAAATTACATCAACTTCATGGGAGCACCTTTTTAATGTACCTACCTTTGCCGAGAAATTCAATTCCAGAAAATTGAGAAATTAACGTACCTTCTTCAGAATTCAATGTGCCAAAACTGATTTTCATTCTACCTGCCCGTGTGGTTTTGAAAAAATCCTGTTGAGAAGAATCGGGTCATTCATAAAACGTAAGGACCTCCTCAGGTTTGCGGTCAGCCCTTTAAAAGAACGGCATTGTACAGGGTGAAAAAAGGTTAGTCGTGTCTTGGAACAACCTAGGTTTGCTCTATGTTGGAAGCCTCGCTTTCCGAAAAAAGATTTCTTGTTTAACGTTGGGGGGTATAGAACAACCAAAGTCAAGGTCAAAGGGGACAGCTCCAACTCAGGGCCCTTTCAACTTGCTGTAAAGCAGACAAGCGATGCCTCATACAAGAACCTTGGGTTTGCAAGGATGCGTAAGAATTCTAGGTTAGGTGGAGGAGTCTCTTTATTATAAGAGGGAGCCCATTTAAACCCTAAGACTTGCATTTATGTCAATAGACGAATCAAGTCTCTGTTTCAGTGATGGTAGAGGACGGAGCAGGCACTTGGGAGAAGAGGATCCACCGACCTGGCGGAATTGATTGATCGAGTACTGTGGAGTACTGTCGAAAGCTTTGAATATAGACTGAAAGCACTGGCGTAACTTCATTTTAAGGGCCCGTTCTCAAAAATATTTGGGGGCCCTTTCCTGTTTATTTATCTGTTCCCCTTACGCTTAATATAACCGCTTGGATTTCTAATGACAACCATCTTAAAAATATATAAATGAAAGTTTACTAGAAATACACCACAGAAGATTCGGATTCTTTAATAAAGATATCACCCTCATATCGATCTTCCGACGTTGCTCAACTCTGAACTTATTTCTTCGTTGTTCAACGTTTGTTTTTTGCTTTTCTCTTGGAGGTTTCACTATGGTATTTTCGTCCATTCTGAGATGTCTGCTTTCAAAATTTCAAACAACAAGTACAGGTGGCGTATCTACAGACGCCGCTGGAGATACATTTAAACTCATTTAGTTATTAAGTTTGATTAGCAATTTCTATTCTTTGTGTATGAATCCGCCTTTTTTGAATGACGGTAACTATTTCGTCCGTGCAGATGTAAATGCAACTACCTACTTAGTCGCATTCATCTCGAAATACAAGTTCAGTTTAAGGTTACCGTATCCAGGACCTTCAGATATCTTCTGGACTGCAGAAAGTCCCGCTAATTAACAAAGTGTTTCATGTAGGTACTTTATGTACGTAAGAGACTTCGGAATTTTATTTTTCACAAATAGAAAACGAGTGGAGTTGCTTTTAAATCTCTTTAAGCTGGCTACTTTTGAGCATATCAAATTTCGTATTAAATTAAGGTCAGATTTAAATGATATGATATGATGATTTAAATTCAATAGTTATACTTCCTCGGATTGTTAATTTTTGTATATTGTAGATAATGGTCCGAATTTTTCACCTATATACCTATTTACCGCCTGTGAACAATTTTATCTGTTCCTTTAGTAACGCAAACTATGTAAATAATTAACACAAGCGTAACATCGAAGGAGTTCGGGAAATTTTCAATTTTTTTCAGTATTTTTTATATAAGAATTACATTTTTTGTACATTTTTGCCGGGACCCCTTTTAAGTCGGGGCCCGTCCTCATTGCGTACCTTTGAGGAATTGTAGTTACACCACTGGTCGAAAGGGGTGGGACGCACATCGTGTTGCTTGGAGCAGCACGGACACGAACTCGAGGGGCGACCACCTATTGGAATACCTGCAAATAATTGATTTGAATGTTTTAAATCAGGGAGTGGCTTCCACCTTCGTCACAAAGCGGAGGTAATCATGTCAGATCACAAGTTGGAGGGTCTTTGATCTGATGAGCTTTCGGACCACATGCATTATTATTTTCCAACTAAACCTAACATCCCACTGATGCGGGCCCTGTAGTTTTCTGAATTCCAGATCCTTTGCTTTATCAGAAAGCAGGGCAGGTGGAAGAGGCGGCCGCATTAGTAAGTGACGCCCTATTAAGACAACTGTCAACCGCACATCTTTCGGTCTTGGTGGAACTCGGGCCCTGAAAAGGTTCGGTAGGAGGTGCGCAGGCTGTTTAATAGGGTAATGACAACTATAAGCTGCCCGCGGACTGGGCGTTCAGGGCAGGTATAAGGACCTTATTCGAAGATGTCAACGAGGATCATGGGGGACTTTCTATGGGAACATATACGGTCTTCTGGAAGTCAAAAACTTCATAAGATCATTATGACAGACCCGGGGTAGAAAGTGTGGCTCTCACATATCTCGGGGAAACACTGCACTTTACAGGTTCTGGCGACGACTTAACTTCGGACCCACCCGGGTCGGTGCAAGGTCGATCGTCTGGAAAGTAGCTGCCCGCGTGGTTACCGAGGGATCTCTCAGTAAGACGGCGGAACAGTCCCGTATTCTAAAAATTAATAAATATCTCCCGGAATTAAACCACTACGCCCCGCTTTTCATTTTTGTAGCATTGTTGCCCAAATCCACGTAAACGAGGCAACGCCAACAAAGCGAAACGAAGCAAAGCCTTCTTACGCCCACGCGTATTTTAGCTCGATTAGCGCTCCTATTCCATCCAATCGAAGTTCGTGCCCTGTCACGTCGCGTTTGCACAGTGCATTCAAAGCGTTAATAGTGACTGACGACTGACCTGCATAGTGTTCACGTATATAACCGATTTTCTTCCGCATTGCTATTTTAGAAAGTTGGCCGCCTGAGATGGGCGGTCAACGGCCTATTTGAGAGTGTAGGACCAGACGAGATATTCCAGGCTCTTCCTATAGAATTTTTGCACCTCTTTAGAGCCTCCTTGGCGTTAGGGTACTCCCAGAAAACTGGAGAAAAGTAAGCCCCGGGTTATGCCAAATATGGCGAAGGATTATAGGCGCATCAGCCTGTTATCGTTTCTTCTAAAAACTTGGGATACACATATAAGGAATGGATTCTTCAAATACCGGAATAGTAATTTTGCTGCGGGATTGCATTCCCCATAGTTGGTATGTCTATGGAGTCGGTTCTTCACAGCCTCGTGTGCAGACTGGAAAGGGAAATGTCTGCTTTGGAACCGAGGTTGATTCCATTAGTGAGGTTGCCAAGAATTGATGGGTCAATCGTAAAATGGATCTGCGCCATGCTCGAAAGCAGGGTCATTACATCCTCAATTGGGATGACGGAAACAGGGGCGGCGACTTATGGGGGGCAATGGGGCCCATGCCCCTATACAAGGTGATCTTAAGGGTCCATTGCCCCATGCAAATTACATTACTTCTTTTAAACCCATATTAACAATCATCGTCCTAATATAATAAGGCACTGAGACAGAGATCTTGGACATAGACGCAGACATTTACGAGCGCATCATGCGCCCATCGCCGTATGGACCATTTTTGCGGAACGCCGGTGTTGCTAGCATGGCATGACTCACCGATTTTCTTTGGTGTATCATTACCTACTTAAAAATCCAATGAAGTAGATCCTAATTTACAACCCCTATTCTTCACGAAAATTGACCCTTGCCCCCATACAATAAATTAAATCCCGCCGCCCCTGGACGGAAATAGCCCCTCGTTCATTGACGGATGTCTGCAGGCCGGGGTGGAGTGTTGTCTCCACTGCTATGGTGCCTTGTTGACGTACTTTGAACGAGGATGGGGCGCATACATTATATGTACAAGAGTTAATGCATAGGGCTCTTGAACAAACGGATAGGTGCTGCAGTAGCTAGGGTTTTTTCGTTAACACGAAAAAGACCGAGGTTGTTCCACTTACAAAGAGAAAGAGAGCGGACTTTGATGGGATCACTTTTCGAGGACGTCAACTGGGTCTGACAATGTCAGTCAAATACTTGGGAGTCATTATAGACTCCCATCTATCATGGAAAGGGCTCGTTGAGCGAATAATCAAAAAGGACACTGTGTGTCTATGAGCATGTAGAAGGGCGTTTGGCTGCAAAAAAAACGGGATTTAATTTTTTTACCCTGGAAAAATGAAGAACTCAGCAGTACCTATATTATAATAATAAATTAAACAAATATAGCAAACGAGCTTCTGGGTATGGCTATAGCATGTGCAAAACTAAATTTTAAACCTGATGTTAGTTTTGCTTTTATTTAAAGTGTATATGTATGAAATTTCATTTGAATGCCTCCATAAATAAGAAAGTTGGCACTGCGCATGCGCTAAACCAAATTTTGAAACTGGTGATAAATTCTGTTTTATTCCAAGTGGCTATGTATCAAATTTCATTTAAATCCCTCCATAAATAAGAAAGTTGGCACTGCGCATAACCAAATTTTGAAACTGGCGTTATATTTGCTTTTATTCCAAGTGGCTAATGTATCAAATTTGAATTAAATCCCTCCCTAAATAAGAAAGTTTGCAATTTGGTATGTAAATGGTCGAGATGCGTAAAGGGCACTGTGAATGCTGATCGATTTGGCTCAACTTTTGGAATTGTTTTTTATATGGCTAAAGCTATGCGCATATTGAATTTCATGCAATTCGGTTCATAGGTAACTAACGGAGATGTTAAAAGGGCCTACTTTATTTTTTGGTCTACATTGCCTATTCACGAACTCCGATCTACTAATTTGATAAAGAATTCAAAATTTCATCGTAATCGGTCCATTCGTTTATGAGTTATCGTGCTGACGGACAGACACCGCAAAATTATAAACTCACTAGGAGCTCGTTAACAAGGGAGGAAAGTGTGCGTTTTAATTCCAAGGGTGAAGTTTGTTGCCAGAAATGAAATTGAGAGTAACAAGCACCCACGTTAATTTCGAACAAGGTATTGTATGGTATGATATAGGTGGCACTCCCTAGGTACAGACGTTTTCAGGTCGCAACAACAGTCGTCTGTGTGACTTAGCGACAGTCGTGGTATGACCTCCAGCTTTACATGCCCTCCGAAGCACGGTAGTTAGGAGATGTAATAGCAAATATACGAGATCTCCCCGGAAATACGAGGCGGTTGGCAACACTATAGCGCGTTCGCACCGCCAGACGCAGTATGGGGTCTTATGGACTAATTGCCTCTCATACTAGTTTGCGTCATTCTTCAATAATACTATCCTTGTTTCTAACCGCATTGATATCAAATTGACATATGATTAAATGGAAGTATTAAAACAAAACATAATCTTGTGCTGTCATTGTCACGTTTGGCAAGCATGTACTATATGTCCATAAGCATCATACTGCATTTGGAGGTGCGAACGCGTTATAGTGACCAGTCAATTCCAGGCTCAGTAGCAACAACCAGCTAGACTCAGACAGTCCAGGGCCCCTTGGCAAATCTGGGTCTTGTAAGCTTCTAAAACTAAATAAAGGCCAGATTAGGAAGATCATTGGTGTCCTCAAGGGGCACTGGATGGTCAACTGTCACCTGCACAACATTGAGGAGCTTGTAGGAGAGTCCACATGTAGGTTCTGTGGCGATCTGGCGAAGCAGAAAAAACTACCCTACTACCTTAAGCTTGTGGTCTTTCACTGTGAGGTCTTGATCAGGAGACATCATCTCCTTGGTGACAGTTATTTGGAACCAGGGAGGGTAAATCAATTTACCAGGCTCTGAACTAGTTACTAAAGAAAGGGGATAGGCACAATGGGTCGGGCTCCGCTTGTGAATAGAAAGATAGACTTCCAGAATCCAATGTACATTTTTCTGGAATACGACGGAAATAAGCCGAAAGATAGGAATAAATTGTCTAGCTTTCAAATTGTGAATAATTGGTCTTTTAAGTACACACATCCCTTATCGAGGTTACGACAATCTCCAGTGTTCATTGCATCAAAAACTTTTCGTGGGCCAAAATTAGAACTGTCCAGTGCCTGTGTGATCCGCAGTTCAGTTAATGCTGAACTGTGATGCTAAGGGTTCGGCATGGATATTTGTAAATGTGGGTTGGGTTGGTAGATCAGTCTTGGCTGAAACCCCGCCCACTCAAAAATAAAGGCAAAAAAACCAATGTTAAAAATGTACCCTCTGCAGACACTGTCGACTTGATATAGGCGTTGTCTACCATCCAACCTAGAGCCCACCTGTAAAATAGATTTTAAATATGTAAATTTTAAATAAAATTTAATAAGTTACTCAATATTCACAAATAAAATATATGCTATAATTATTCAAAAATTGTAACAAATATACCATAATCTAAAAAAAACATTAAATAACATTAATATATTATCTACAGAAAAATGAAATACTGCCATATAAACGAATTATAACGCAGCAAATATCGAAACACAGTATCTATCTCTGGCATTTTCGATATTTAATTTGATATGACCTTATTAAACAACAGAGATGGTTTGGAGTAGTACGAAATGCAAGTCTCTAATAGTGCAATTTCCTGGCACGCCAACATTACAGTCAGAGTATAATGAAAAATGTCAAATATGTTCAAAAGTTCTCGTCATATATCAAATGAATGCCCAACATTAACATTCAGTGCGTGCTACACGTAAAAATAGTGCCACCAACTTGACAATTAAAATTTTAAGATCGATGCAAAACTGAGATTGTGAAAGTGATATGTTTAGAGAATTAAAAAATTACACCCTGAATCAATTATGGCACAAACAAAGTTGTAATACTGATGGTTTGCATTTTTGGTTATATAAATCTGGTAAGGGCAGTTTATAAAGCAACTATCATTCATTTCATATTGAGAACTCACGATACCATCCTAATAATGCGCTATTGTCATTTAAAAGATTATTACAGTATGACTACATAAATTGATTGGTTACAGACCGCTATGGAATGATGCCTAACTATAGTTATAATTATGCTTATCTTAAATGCTTATTATTAAACATAGTAAATGGTGATAGCGCAGGTTTTAGTTAAAAGTGGTCCAATATATGCGGTTTTTGGAAAATGTACTACTATATACAGAATGAATGGAAATAAATGCTAGATGCATTTGCCTAAACGCCCCACCAGGTCTACACCTTTAAGATTGTCAGTAGATAGCGCCTTACATCTTATTCATTTGGTAGCACGTATAACTATTAAATATTGCTTCTCTAAAAATAAAAAAAAGGTACCCTTATTTTAATTTGAACATCTGACACAATTCAAAAGGACCACGAAAATATTTACAGTAAGTGTCGTAATATAGGGAGGAACCATAATGTTCGTTGCCCGCACAAAGAATTCAAAACAATCGGTTAACATTTCTTATACGCCATTCCTATGCAGCGAACTTTTAGGGTGAGGTGGCTGTAGTAAATCACAGAATTGTAAAAGGGCTTCACGTAACGGTCTGGATACCTGCGAAGAACTGGTGGTTGTACATTCTACAAGATAGGGATATAAGCCGATGAGTTGTTCCCACGCGTGAACGTCTTCTGGAACAAAACAATCTTTGATTTCTTAAAGTGAGTTATTATTCACAAACCACTGTGTAACCTTTACAAACAAATAAATTAACACCCCACAAAAAAAATTCCAACAAATAAACACCCCACAAAAAATTGGTAGAATTGTGTTTTTGAGTTGTTAACTTTTAGGTGAGATTTTAATACGATCAAATATTTGCACCAAAAATGTTCTCATATTCAAGCAACCGCAATCAATTATCAGATTAGCTAACTGTCAGTACGCACTATTAATACGGCTATATTTCTACTGAAAGTGTCATTCAAGTTGCTCAAATAAAATTTCTTTAAAATATTTATAATAAAGTTGAAATGCGGCTGCGCAGACAGACTATTTTCTTTGCAACCATAGCTTTCTAAAATATTTGAATCATTGAGCTCTCAGTAGAATGGACGGATGGAATTCACACATTAGCCATAATTTTTGTGACACATTAAGCCAACTATCTCACAACCTAACTAATAAAAATTCGTACCTTTCCCAACAGATGCTTTTTTCATAGAAATAACTAGAGTTGTAACTGCTTTCAACACAAACGAAACCTCGGAAAGACGATATCTGAAAACAAATGATTACTCCTTGAAGAAATTCTCTCCATTTTACCTTGGCAACGGACATTTCCCGCTGTGTTTTTCGTCATCAATATATTTCTTCAGAACCTCTTGAAATCGGTGCAGAAGCGCGGTTACCGCCAATTTACCGGCGACTCCCTCCTTTTCGTCACTAATAACCATACTGTCGTTATCGCCGTCGATTAATGAAAATTGTAATAAGGTTTCAAAGCATATTTTCGCGAACTCTTCGCGTAGTGTTAGTTCAGTCTCACAGTCTACATTCGAATTGGTCGCCGAATGAATCGAGCCTCTATTCAAAAGGACGACAACTTTTAAAATGAATTGTCGCGGTATATTGGCGGAAAATGGAAGTACTTCGGTTCGTAGTAATTCGATCAATTGACAGTCTGTCGCCTCGTCGGCAACTAACTCGTCTAGCCCCCGATCCGACGGTGCGCACCTGTAAAAGCGCGATTACTTGTGTCAGATCAGAAATGGATCTTTTCAGTTGTAACCCCCACTAACCTGACCTGTAGTTATTTTGTACTCAGTTTGTGCTTATATGTACCACAGGTATCACCTCATAAACACATCAACAAGCTTTCTACCACTTTGCTGAGATCGATTATTAGTTGAATTCCAGGACAAGATTTTGTATCAGAATCATTCATAATAATGTTAATTTTGTTTGGATGATCGCTTTGTTTATTTAATTGTGTTATCTCCGGTCGTTTGCGATAAGAGTCCCGAATCAGCTAATTAGTTTCAAGATAAGAAGGTTTTATCGCCGAAGTACGCAGAAGCTAATTCTTTCGAAGAAAGGAGGAACGGAAGTGACAAAGGGAAATTCTTTTAAATAGCAGAGAAAGACGTTAATTAGGGCTTTTTTGGTGGTGGACGTTTGAAACGTAGCCGTTTCTTTTAATGTATTGTCGTATTTGAGCGTTTTTGAAAAGATCGACTACCACGTGTTTTTGCAAGTCAAGAAACGCCTTGGATGACGACGAAAGCGTCTTGGGCGACAAGTTTCTATGATAATGGTATACAAACGGTTGTTGTTCGATACGATGTGCCTTAATATTGGCAGAAATAAAATTATTACAAAAAAGGTACTAGTTTTTTAATACCTCAAAACGGAACTTGCTTAAAAAATACGCCCTGTAAATAAAAAATCGAAAAGAGAACCTAAAAGGAATTGGGAAAATTATGATTTGGGCTGCAAATGTTTTTTACATAACAATCACATGAGAGCTGACGGAAAGGGCGAAACATTTTCACTAATTTCGAGCCCAAATCGATCACTGACCACCCTGAAGCCAGTTTTAACACACTTCTCAGCATTTCTCGACTTTTTGAAACTTTTTTCAAATTTTCCGCTTTAAAATAACCGCAAAATGAATTAAAACGGCATTTACGGGGCGTTCGGCAACCCTCGTCTGTGACGTCACTGATTGAAATAATTCGAATCGCGCACGTCACTTTTGCAGACCTTCGGGAGAAATTTTATCACGGCGTAGTTTCCTACGTCACCGCCTCGTTCTAAACCGAAAAAGAAATTAAAAACTCGGTCGCGCTATTCGAAAATGCGCGTATTCCCCCTCTCACCCTCGTTTTCCTCTAGGCCATCGTTTCGGCTCCATAAGGCGTCAATTGCAAAACGCAAAAAACGGTCTTCTCGCGGGCGGTGCTTCGGGTCTCGGCGTTTCCACACCGCGCCATCGCTTTTATTCGCACCCCAGCAAAAATACGCTCTTCCACGTCGGCCATGATCTCAGAAATCCGGAAAAAGATAGTAGTCTTAGTTTTCAAACTAGGATTTTCGCTTCTTACCGCAGCTACCCCGACGGACGCCGGAGGAATTTTCTCGACCTCACAAACAGTTGCTCCAATTATCGCTACCCCGTTAAGAGTTAAGACACCGTCCTGACGCCCCAAGTCCACCCACGTGTAAACGGCGAATTTTTAACCGCGCCTTCGACTGCGATGCTTCCCAAACGCTCCAGAATATATTTGATCTAGACTTCTCAGTATCAAAGCGAAATCCCCTAAAGAAGCTCTCATAAAAACTCCCAAAATTTTTATTGAACTTGTTTGTTTACTCATGTTATAAGTTGCAAGGGCAGTAATTGGTTTGGTGAAGAATATAGAACCGAAGGGTGGGGGAATATTCCATGGCACACCCCTCAGACTCCCCCGTGCTGCGGTCTCACTTACCACATTCAACCATAAGGATTCTTGTAATAGTCTTTAGTACAGGACAATCCAATCCTGTTTCCAGAGACGCCTGGAAGGTATGAAATACCCCTCCATGGAAAAAGGGAAATAGAATGTTCACCTTTCTGCAACTATCACAGGCGCAGCGGCGTTTGTGAATTGTGACATTTCCAAACTTGACCTCTTCAAAAACAGTCCTTCTAAGAATAAATGTTCGTTAGAATGGTATCTAGCAACAAACAGCATCTCCCATGAAAAAGGAAAACACCTCCCCATAACTTTGGTAATCGGAGCTCGGCATCCTTGCCCCTAGAGCGAGGGTCCAAGGTATAAGCCTCAAAATCCGGGCTAAGAAATCACGCTAGTGCTAATAGGGGAACGACCTAGCCTCCTGGGTTGCTCAGTCGAGGAGGGCTTCTTCCCCCCTCTCTACGCTACATTTAATCTCGATTTGATACAAACCTCTACTAAGTACAAACGAGGGAGTACGTAATCAGCTGCTCCCAACACCGACAAAGGCCAAATACAACAACGAAGTATTTGTACCCCAGGTAAGGGTCAATAAATCACCGCCCATGAGGCCACACGCTGCCCACCTAAGACACTGATACGGCCCGTCGAAGGCAGAGGCATTAAGACGATGCGTCTCAACCACCTTGGAAGTTAAAGGGTGCCTCAAAAGAACACTTTACCCAAAAGAGACCGAGACAGAATATGAACTTCTCCAATTGATGTCTAAGCGTCATAAAGAACCACTGGCACAAGCGAGCATCTGCCTGGTCCATATTTCGAGAGCTTCTTCTAAAGAGCCCAACTCTAAGCGGAGCATTACTAGTCAGGACTAAGCTACAATCATGGAGCAAGTTGACAATATCAACAAAATAATGATAGATCTTACCACAATTTATTGCATATGAGGCAAATCAGACAAGTGAAACAGGCTATCAAGACGATATGCCAAGATCCCCAAGCAACTCTTGCAACCAGGGGCAGGTCATAGTGATGTCCATGAACCTAGCAGAGCAAGGTCAGCAGAACACAATCAAAGATATTGCATAATTAGGTGCTAATTACGTACCCTATTCCCGAATTAAATGCTCCTTTTTTAAAAAAATTATTACATGTTTTTCCAGGTTCATATGAACTCAGCAGAACACTACCTTTAAAACCCAAGAAAATGAAAAGTGAACTAACGATAATTAGGTGCTAATTAAGTGCTCTATCACCGAATTAAATGCTCCTTTTTTTTAAAAATTAATACATGTTCTTTCAGGGTCATATGAACTCAGCAGGACACTACCTTTAAAACCCAAGAAAATGAAAAGTGAACTAACTATAATTAGGTGCTAATTAGCTACTAATTAAGTGCCCTATCCCCAAATTAAATGCTCCTTTTTTTTTAATTATGACATGTTCTGCCAGGTTATGAACTCAGCAGAGCTCAACCTTAAAAGCCAAAAAAAATGAAATGTGAACTAACTAATAATTAGGTGCTAATTAAGTGGCCTGTTTTCAAATTCTGTGCTCTTCTTTTTTATTTTTACTTCTACTATTTACATGATTTAAGCAGACAGGCAATGTGTTTACAAAAATAAATACGTCTTCGTGTTCGTGATTTGGTGTATTAAAAGGTGCTAATATTGCTTTAAACACACAAAGTTACAAAAATTGTTCGTACAAATTTTACAAAGGCGTACTTCGAAAACAAATTGCTATATTGTGCGTTGAATTATGAAAAATGCAAGCGTACCACGGGCACGGAACGTAGGATGCTATGTGATACTTGATAATTAAGATAAAACCTAATTATTAGATAGTTCACTTTTCATTTTCTTGGTTTTTTGAGGTAGTGCTCTGATGAGTTCATATGCACCTGGCAGAACATGTAATAATTAAAAAAAAAGGAGCATTTAATTCGGGAATAGAGCACTTAATTAGCACCTAATTATAGTTAGTTCACTTTTCATTTTCTTGGTTTTTGAGGTAGTGCTCTGCTGAGTTCATATGAACCTGGCAAAACATGTAATAATTAAAAGAAAAGGAGCATTTAATTCGGGAATAGGGCACTTAATTAGCGCGTAATTAACACCTAATTATGCAATATCTTTGATTGTGTTCTGCTGACCTTTATAAAAAAAAGGAGGATTTAATTCAGAAATAGAGCACTTAATTAGCACCTAATTATAGTTAGTTCACTTTTCATTTTCTTGGTTTTTTGAGGTAGTGCTCTGCTGAGTTCATATGAACCTGGCAAAACATGTAATAATTAAAAGAAAAGGAGCATTTAATTCGGGAATAGGGCACTTAATTAGCGCGTAATTAACACCTAATTATGCAATATCTTTGATTGTGTTCTGCTGACCTTTTAAAAAAAAGGAGGATTTAATTCAGAAATAGAGCACTTAATTAGCACCTAATTATAGTTAGTTCACTTTTCATTTTCTTGGTTTTTTGAGGTAGTGCTCTGCTGAGTTCATATGAACCTGGCAAAACATGTAATAATTAAAAGAAAAGGAGCATTTAATTCGGGAATAGGGCACTTAATTAGCGCGTAATTAACACCTAATTATGCAATATCTTTGATTGTGTTCTGCTGACCTTTTTAAAAAAAAGGAGGATTTAATTCGGAAATAGAGCACTTAATTAGCACCTAATTATAGTTAGTTCACTTTTCATTTTCTTGGTTTTTTGAGGTAGTGCTCTGCTGAGTTCATATGAACCTGGCAAAACATGTAATAATTAAAAGAAAAGGAGCATTTAATTCGGGAATAGGGCACTTAATTAGCGCGTAATTAACACCTAATTATGCAATATCTTTGATTGTGTTCTGCTGACCTTTTTAAAAAAAAGGAGGATTTAATTCAGAAATAGAGCACTTAATTAGCACCTAATTATAGTTAGTTCACTTTTCATTTTCTTGGTTTTTTGAGGTAGTGCTCTGCTGAGTTCATATGAACCTGGCAAAACATGTAATAATTAAAAGAACAGGAGCATTTAATTCGGGAATAGGGCACTTAATTAGCGCGTAATTAACACCTAATTATGCAATATCTTTGATTGTGTTCTGCTGACCTTGCTCTGCTAGGTTCATGGACATGTCATAGTGCACACTCATTGAGCAGAGAGATTCTACCCTGAAAGTGGGGCTCAGCTTTGCTGAAACCACTAAACAGGTGTTTAACAAAAGCAACAGTCCAGAAGGATATCTTCACCACAAAGTGAATGACCCCAACGACCCTTTAAAGCGACTTAGAAAACACGTGAACGCAAAAGAGGTAGGTGGCGCGAATTTTCAAAATGTTTTTATGCCAATCGTTTGTTGGTGTTTGTTAGTCACATTTTCATGTTTGTTGGTTGACCGTTATTTAATTATGCATTATGGAAATCATCTAACATAAATCCCAAGGTTTTTGCTATTTACTTATTTATTAATTTTTTTCTTACCTATCTTTCCTTGTTCTGGGTTGGCAACAGGCTTACGCCCAATTACAGAGTGACCCGCAGAATGCTTTTTAGAGATCCCCCGCAGGTCTTATAAGCTGTTCTATACCTACTACTGGGCATTTACCTTGCGAATTAGGAAAACTGCGGGAAAACGTCGGAGCTCGAAACTTATTTAATGACCCCTTCCCCCCATTTCCATTACAGATGAAAAATTCTTACTTCATCCCAGGTTCGAACACCCGACCTCCGACTATGCAGCCCAATGCTCCTCCACTAAGGCTTTACTCTATATTGTACAGATACAGTCGATGCAGATAAAAATACTTCATTTTCTCCTTTTTTGGTTATCTATGTTGCACCATTGAAATAAAAGACTACGGAAGGAGGGTTACATGCATATAACATACGCTTGTTGCGATCCAATTAAGCTTCTCAATATGGCCGACTTTGACAATTAATTGACATTTACGGTCAAGTGAAACTTAATTTAGCTGTAAATCGTGTAATATAACAAAATCAAAAGCTGCAGAAGAAACGAAAATTACACTTTATAGGTGGTAACCAGCGTTAATACTATTAAATAAAAAAGAAAATTATGGTGTAAGAGGAGTGGCCCTGAGGTTATTCCAAAGCGGCCTCTCTAATCGTCAGTAGTACGTTCAAATACAGCAGAATAACATCTGTTTCACATCTTTACCCCTCGAAATTATCATAGGAATACCACAAGGAAGCAAATTAGCTCCATTGCTGTTTGTCATTTTTAAATCGGTTTCAATGTCAAATAACAGTTGTTCATTCATTAACTATACAGATGATACAAATGTTATAATGACTGGATCAGATATTTCTAATCTGATACGCTGTCACGCAACTCAGGTACTCCAACTAAGTAAATGGTTGGAAATTCCCTAAACCAGTGGTTCCCAACCTTTTACTACAACGAACCCTTCCTTTAGATTTTTTTTCTGACGAACCCCCCCAACTTATGCCTGTTCAATTTAACAATTGGTGCAAGCCTCGACACCATAACGATCCAAATAGCGAAAAAAGTAGAACAATAGCTCTTAAGATAAAGAACTAGTAGCGTCCAGACAGACGGACGGACAAAGTGGCCACAATAGCGCATTTTTTTAATTTTTGTGGAAATGCGCTAAAATCTTAAGTACGTTTGAATGATGTCGTCACGCTCAAGATTTATTGTAAAGATACTACCAACCAACAAATGATAAATAATATCCACCACACACCAACAGCGACCAACAAACGATCGCAAATAAAAAAATTCACAAATTTTAATGTGGGGGGATAACTTCACGCCCAAAACTTACAAAATTTATTCTGAAAATACTATCAACCAACAATCAAAAAAAAACACCAACAAACGATTGAAATAAAAACATTTTGAAAATTCAAAAAGTAGCCAGCTAACTATACCTTCAAATTTTGAAATCAACCAACAAACATGAAAATGTAACTAACAAACACCAACAAATGATTGCTATAAAAATATTTTGAAAATTCAAAAAGTGGGGGTTTAACTATACGCTCAAATTTTGAAATTTGAATAATTAAATAACGGTCAACCAACAAACGTCAAAATGTAACTAACAAACGACCAACAAACGATTGAAATAAAAATGTTCTGAAAATTCCAAAAGTGGGGGGCTAACTATACGCCCAAATTTTTGAATTTTGAATAATTAAATAACGATCAACCAACAAACGTGAAAATGTAACTAACAAACACCAACAAACGATTGAAATAAAAATATTATGAAAATTCCAAAACTGGGGGGCCAACTATACGCCTAAATTTTTGAATTTTGAATAATTAAATAACGATCAACCAACAAATGTGAAAATGTAACTAACAAACACCTAAAAACGATTGAAATAAAAATATTCTGAAAATTCCAAAAGTGGGGGGCTAACTATACGCTCAAATTTTGAAATTTGAATAATTAAATAACGGTCAACCAACAAACGTCAAAATATAACCAACAAACTCCAACAAACGACTAACAAACCATTGGCATAAAAATATTTTGAAAATTCAAAAAGTGGGGGGCTAACTTGACACCGGTCTCATCATTGACAGTCGAGAGCAACAAGCAGCTCTAACGAGCGCTTTGAACAAGTTTGAAGAGTTGGGGTCATTACATAGTCAACTGATACAGGAGTGGACACCGGGTACACTGATGACATGTTAATAGAAAACCTCCTGACCCAAAACGATGAAGTGTTTGAGAAATGGGCCAAAAAAGACAGGAGTAAAGTAGCAGGCAAAAGGCAGTGTCGAAATCCCCGAAAACTAGGGTATAGAGGTGAACCCACGTCACTTTAAAATATAGAAAAAAGTGGGTATGTTAATCTGGACCTTGTAAGAATAAGAGTGGCAGATCACCACCCTCAGTACAAACCTCGCACCATACAGCAGTCTAATTGCTTTGCAGTGCAAGATGGTATGAGGAAAAACAGGGCGACCACCGAAGTGGCGAATGTGGGGGTGTCTAAATGTTCATCTTCCTACAACTATCATAAGATGACAGATTTGCAGTTAACGGATGAAAGGTAATGGGACAAAATTTGATGCAGAGTTCAAAAAAAGTACGGCACAAGGATCTGTACTGTAGGAGTTTTAGTACATTTGGTCCAAGCATTTAAAAAAAGTGGTACAAACTAGAACAAAATTATGGCACAAATTTTTTTATAAATCTGTCCCGGGGGTTAAGGGCGGTGGTACCTGCAGAACAAATAAGTATAAATTAAGCACATGACTTGCGCACTAGGGGTACCAACTATATTGACTCGTCATAAAAGCACTTACGTTTTAGGAAATAAAAATTCGTTGAGAGTAATCAGGAGTTGATTCCACATCGAAGCGAACTGGTTGCTATGATTTCTTGCAACAGGCAATCCAACCTTTAGAACTATAATTAAACTACTCGCCGCTAATTTCCAGGTGGTGCTCGACACGCAATTGTATTTTAACGATAAGGGGGTGTGTAGTGCAACAATAATATCGTGCAGTACGTTAGCATTTATCACATCGGCATTTTCGGCAGTTCTCTCGTACAACTTCACAGCCATGTTGATTGCCTTTTCGCCGAAAGGTATGTAGTTCATGCTGATCCATTCGGCTGCCACTTTATTTACTTGCTTTAGGTCGTACTTTAAGAAGTTCGGTGGGTTACAGGTGAATTTTCCGAATATTAGTAATTGTTTAAAAATTTCGGGTATCATTTTGCTGTTAGTCCGAAGCACGGCTTCTTTTTGTAAAAGTTCCATTGCGTGTAGTATTCCGTCATGCAGAGGTGTTAGACTAACATCGACTGATGTAGGTAGAATATAAGTTGTGCTTTCGCCGTGTACGGGAACCGTGACAGAATTTGTCAGTACAACACATAACTGCTGCAAGTCTTCTAAACTAAAATTGCTTTTCACATGTTGAAAAACGTTTGGGAAAATTTGTATGAGAGCAGTTAAAAATGCTTGACTAGGTAAATAAAAATCGTCCATTAGTTCGCTTTCTACTATAGGAACGGTGACTTCAGTCCCAATTTTGATCCACACCTTCCAGGCAATCGCCCATATATCGACTTCCTCATTCGAAGTGCTCTTATTATCCGTGCTCTGCGTTTTATTGAGGTATAAAATTTCTTGAAACGACTTTAAGGCGGAAAAGGAGACTTCGTTATTCTTGCTAAGCGCCGCGTTTTCTATGAATTCTAACAGTAGCGACCAAGCCCTTGGAAAATCGCCCAACGACTGCAGTAGCTGACGTTTCGTGTTAAACACCCTCGCCACACCGGATAAGGTTAGCACTTGCGTTTCGGCCCATTGCTTTTGCGCCGTATTTCTTGTGTGGTGAATTAGAATGTTGCCTCCTATCAAATAAAAAAAATAGCTTTTAGTGACAAATTGTAACAGCCGTTTTCAAAAATTTGGTTTTGAACTTTTGACCATAGGAACATTACTTACACATATACCGCTTCACAGCGAAAGTGAACGAAAGTATGTCTGGACCAGTGGCGGCTCGTGGACTTTGAGTATGGGGGGGGGCGCGAAGATATATTTGTATACATTATCAAATGCGGTGATGGCAAAAGGAGGGGGTTGGGACCACTTTGCGGCGCAGGCAAAATTGTTGAAAATTTTCAAGGTCACGCGTTTTCCTGGCACTTCTGAATTTCAATTAAAAATTATTTTATACAAAAATATAGACGTTCATAATACGAATATAACGGCAATCTCAATCTCGTTCGTGTGAAAACTCGATACAAATCAACGTAACACCGGACACTGCCAAGTTCCAGCCGCTAAAGATGTGCGGCCAAAGGCTAATCTAAATGAACAGACTGAATAATAATAATAATAATAATAATAATATTTAATGTCCAACAGAAAAAAATACATTTTCCAATTACAGGACAACAGATTAATATGTATAGAGTACAAAATAATATAAAGAAAATGAAACGAAATTCTAATCTTATACAGTGTGTAACATAGTAGTACGCAAAAATCCGTGAATAACAATAAAAGAAAATAATTAAATAAACCAAAACATGAAATGCAATCTAAGGGGTAAACAAAAATTATTAACTAATACGTAATATAACTAACCATTTCGAGTAATGTGGAATGAAATAAGTCAATATTCGGGCAAATTGAATCAAATAATTTACATGCGTTATAGGAGATTTGTATAAAATATTTGTGCGAGGTGTAGTTCTAGAGAATGAGACATTGAAACGAGTATTGTATGAAGGAATATGGTGCATCCAATTTATTGTGAATAATGTTATGCAGAAAAGTAAGGCAGGCAACTTTCCTCCTGCTTTCGAGGGAGCTAAAATTGTACTTAGATAGCAAGAGGTCATGGTTGAACCCGCGAACAGGATAAACTCGTTCCTCCGTAAAATACAGCATTTTTAAGAACCGTCTTTGGATAGATTGGATCATGTTGATGTGCACTTTGTGGCGAGGAAACCAAATCACACAGCAGTATAATTCGAGTTTGCTACGCACAAGTGCAAAGTATAATGTTTTCAGCGAATCCAATTCTGTGAAAGACCTTGTATTGCGCACAATGAATCCAAGGGTACGCATCGCAGAACGACACAAAGTGGTATAATGATGCGTAAAAGTAAGTTTATGGTCAAAATAAATACCTAGATCTTTGACAAGATCTGTGCGATCTAGCTTAATTGAGTCAAGGAGATAACTAAACTCGATAGGTTGATTTCTTTTTGTATACGAGACCACTTTACATTTAGATACATTCAGAGGCAACTCATTAGTACAACACCAGTGAAGAACTAAATTAAGTTGCTGTTGGAGGAATAAGCAATCTTGCACTGAATTAATTGAACAAAAAATTTTTAAATCGTCTGCAAAGAGGAGCTTGTTGCAAGTAATTGTATCTGTAAGGTCATTAATAAATAGTAAAAATAATAGGGGCCCCAGGGTGGAACCTTGCGGGACACCCGATGTGACAGTAATCACGCCTGACACATGATTATTATACACTACACGTTGGACTCTGTCTCTAAGGTATGTTTTTAAAAAATTAACCAGCGAATGATGAAATCCATAGCTACTGAGCTTCATAACAATAATGTCATGCGAAATAACGTCAAATGCTTTGCTGAAATCGGTATAGATAACGTCAACTTGACCTCCTCTGTGGTCAAGTTTTTTGGTTACAAAATCTGAAAAGCAGGCAAGATTGGTTATTGTAGAACGTTGCGCCATAAATCCATGTTGATCAGTGGATATTAGTCTGTTAACGTGAGGATATATACGACTGTAGAGGATGATTTCAAAAATTTTAGCAAAGTTATTTATAATGCTGATGGGACGATAGTTACGAATGTCCGCAGGATCACCACTTTTTAATATAGGACATATATTTGCAATCTTCCAAAGGTTAGGAAAGTTTTGGGAACGTAAAGCAAGATTAAATAAAAACGCTAGCGGACGAGCTAGCACCTGTGCACAGTCCTTAACTATAAAGGATGGTACTAAATCGGGCCCTATGGAAGTTTTATTTTTGAGTTTACGAATGGCCAGTAAGACATCATCAACAGTAATTGTACCAATACATATGTTTTGTTGATAACTGCTTAAATTAAAATTCGAAGAAGAATAGCTTGACGGAACACGATATACGCTACTGAAATAGCTCTTAAAAGCATTAACAACTGAGTCCGGACTAGAATAACACTTATTATTATAGTTAACTATGCCAGGAATACGTGAAGAACCTTTCTTTGAATTTATGAATTTCCAAAATTCTTTAGGATTAGTTCTCACAGACATTTGTAGTTTATATAAATGACTTTTATATGCTAAAGTCAGCTGCGATTTAAGTAGTTTACGCAAAGCTTTGAACTCATGCAAGTAAATACTATCATTATATTTATGATAATTGCGATGTGCAGTAGATTTTTTCCTAATTGAGCATATGATATCACGTGTGTACCAAGAAGGGTACTTATTAGATTTACGTTTACATACAGGTACAAACCTATCAAAACTGCGATACAATATAGAATAAAATTCATTACATGCGGTATTAATATTTGTAATTAAATTAAGAGGCGACCAGTCCGTGTGTAGAATAGAATTGTAGAGATTAGGGTAATCGGCTGTCTTAAAGTTATATTGTTTGTTGACGTTATTGACGCTAAATTTATTGATTTTCGACATTTTATAGCTGAGTACGATACCTAAAGCAGGATGGTACACATCTTCTAAAACAGCAGGTACATCATCATGAAAAACGGAACAGTTTATGTTGGAGAACACTAAGTCAAGAAGTCTCAGTTTAGAGTTCACTATATTATTATATTGCCATAAATTAGTTATATCAGAAAATAAGTTCACGGTAGTAGTTCTTCTATCAGTGGCATTATGATGGTTAAAGTTGGGTGTATTAAAATCGCCTACTATTAACACTAAACCAAAATGAGAAACCATTTGACCAAACAATTCAAAGAATAATTCAAAGTCACTTATATTAGTTGAGGGCGGTAAATATATAGAAAAAACATGCAATATACAATACCCAAAGGTACATCTACAACCAACAATGTCAATCGACGGTATTATTACTGAAAGTAGTGCAGTGCGCATGCTACTGTCTGTTGTCATGGCAACATGCGGCCGAGCACGCGCGCCGTGTGCCCTTGAATGACAGCGAGAACGTGTGGCTGTCGCTGGTCATTGTGTGCATTCAAATAACAAATAAGCAATCTTCAATCTAGTTTATTTTACTTTTCGTAGAATTTGTTACGATCCGCAATAAGTCTACGATTATTATTACATTATGATTATAATTAAGTATAGGACATTGAATTAATTCTTACGAAGTTAAGACAGTGATAAACAAAAAACAAATTCTTTTTTCTGTTTTCTGTGATTTTTTCAGGAGGGGCGCGCGACCATGCGGCCCTTAGTAGTAGCCGCCCCTGGTCTGGACATAAAAGCGATAACAATGCGGGCATTTTCGTTAAAGGTGTGCGTTTTGAACTATGTGGAATACATTTTTGGATATGTGTGTTCAATCTCCAATATGAAGGCTCCTTCTGTTAACATTTCGATTTATAAGAAGCACTTTCAGTTGAAATTTCAAAAAAGTGTTTCATAAATAAGGTTATGCGTGCGCATGTGTAAATCTATATTTTGACACGTGTGATGTTACATATCTGACAGTTTTTTTTAATATCATCGTTCCCGCTTTTATACATTTCATTAAAGGAGAAAAACGCTATGCCACTGAAAATGTTTTACCGGGAAGTGCACAATTCAAATTACACAAGCACAAAGACCTGAGAGTATAAGGGCAATCCTTCTTCTTCGAGCGAGAAAGAGAACGTGGCAAAATTTCAGCAGAGGCGGCAGAACGTAGGTCGCTTTGGGTGTGTAAGTGCGTTTGTTTAAGAATTATTTGAATTGTACCGTTAAATAAGTAAGGTGTAGGTAATTGCCTTGGTATTTTGCTATTGATTTAATCGAAATTTGAATTGGCAGGGCCTTTGTTTAAAATTGTGGAATAATTGTGATTTCAATTTGCGTTTATAAGAGTATCTTCCGCTGAAATTTCGAGAATTGGGTCACAAATAAACAATGTAGGCCTGTGAATGCGTAAAAGAGAGATCATAAAATCACCAGACTTGCTCTTTTTATGAGTGCCCTCCTCCTACACTCCGGTTTTGAAAAATTCGTTTTAACCTCACCAGTAGATATGTCTCATCCAGACGGTTCATTTTGCCCTTGTCGAGTCCTATCCTCAGATACACGCTTTCCAAAATGTTCGCACTTTAAGTGCACCAATAAATATGTTTCCTCCAGACGTCCTAATCGTCCTTTGTGAAACACTCCGCTCTTGAGATGTGAGGAATTATAATCGATCATGGTAAGGGGAGGAGAAGCGTGGTTGGTAAAAATTAATTCCTTTCGTTGAGACCTTTGTAACGAAGCACCTATTTTCCACCTTGATGTTTACATACTTTCATGACCACCTGCTAAATGAACACTCGGTATCTAAGAGTTTTAGGTTGGGTGCTTCGTTACGAAAAGCGTCGTGCTGAAATTATTTTGGTGGTTCTAGGAGTTGAAGATAGAAGATAAAGGTAATTGATTTAATCTCTAGAGTTGTGTTTCAGCCGCCATCGTTACCGTAAATATACCGTAGGCAAACTAATATTTTAGAGTTTCAGTTCCGTTAAGTAATTATTAGATGATTCTGGTTTCCAATGGTATACGAAAACAAGCTTAAAGCCAATCGAGGTCAGGCAGTCTACGTGTTTATCAGCTTGCTATCGCCGACTCCGCCGGTTGATTCCAACATTGCAATTAACAATAGGTGTCAATTGGATTACCGAATTTTTGATTTTCATCTCGCGCAATGAAGTGAGTATAATTAACAGTAGCAGAATAAATGAGATAAAGTAAACACCATCCGATTAACTCTCAAAATTAATTTTTGATACTTTCCGTAAATCTATTTGGCATTAAGTTTACCGCACTGTATTTACCGCTTTTGCTTTATCTTGCACAGAAATGTCTACCGATCCGTATAATTGCAAGGGAAGCTTTTCGCTACTTTCTGTTCCATTAATCATAAAGAGGGATATTGTTTTGCTTTCCTGCATTTGATTTCCCGTAGCTACCGCTAATTAATTTGTGCTTTAGTGCTTGCGTTCTCGTTAGGGCAATCGCTACAGTGTGAACGTGCTGTAATTCTGCTCTCAGATCCGTCGCCAGACGCCGTTCGCGGCTGACCGTAAGATCTCTGGAAACCGTGTTATCTGTGGCATCCGTTTTGAAACGTTGTCCAGTTGGCAAGTCCGCATCCCTTGGTGGCGCTCGAGTCCGTCCGGCCATTCCGCTCCATCAGCTCCCGTTTGAGTTGGAAGTGATTTATACTTAATTTAATTGTGAATGTATAGTTTCTTTATACTTAATTAAATTAAATTTAATTAATTAAGACCGTTTAACAGGTATTGTGAAATATCTAAGTGTCAACTTATCATAGAATTTGAATTTAAAAATGTGGGTGCTTACGACTTGTTCAAGATCTATCGACAAAGATATATACAGGGTGATTAATGCTTTAATGGGTCAGTTAAATTGGATAAAAATAGCATGAAAAATAGAACTTACATCTGTATGAATTCCGTCCGTCAGTCTGAGGGTTTGAGATATCTGCACTCCGACCTCGTTCAAGACTGTTTTTTTCAACACGTAGTGTGGGCGAAAATAAAAAAAATGTCATACAAGTTTGCGTTCTGCGCGGGAAGACGTTGAGTCGACAGATCGGTTAATCGCCGAGTGGAAAAATGTGTGCGTGCAAGGGAGTCTTGGACAAAGATACTAATCCGGGATGTGAAAACTTGGGTGACACATGGACACGATCTACTTGATGAGATTCAAGGACAGAAGAGAGAGGACGGTTGTGTCGACTGCGGAGAACTAGAAAGTGCAGGTGTTTGGGTGTTAGAGATGGGAGGCGAGAAAGACGACATTTGAGAGCCGGGTCGATACAAGGATAGAACCGCATCACATAATGAACTTGATTACGGACAATAAGGACCTATGGAGCAGTATTCACGCTTTCGTCCCGCGAGTGGTGAGGACGAGAAAGGTCGAAGGAAGGGAAAGGGAAAGAAACAGGAACAAACGTAGTGGGCTAGGCTTAACATCTAGGAGGCTACCACCACAAAAATGGCCAGACCGTCTCACAACATTAAGTTTTCAAAATAAGAATAATAATAATAAATGACTTTATTTCATTTTTCTACAGATCCTGTCTAAATGGTGGAGTTCAGACTCTTCCACTCAACCCTCCTCTCCTTCCGCATTGATACAGCGCTTCCAGCGAGATTTCCAGGTATCCAAGACATAATGGAATGGCTCTTTCGCAATCTCCTTTACAGCCTTGGTGGTAGTTTTTTTTATGTAAACATATTTAGTTACCTGTGTATTCTAAATTGGTTTACGTTAGGATTAGTTTTGTAGGTTGTCGGTTTGTACTGACGACTTGTATTGAGACCACATTTTGCTTTTGCTGTGTAATGTAAATTTAATTATTGGTTTCCATTAAATATTAATTATGGTTTTTCGTGTTCGAGTTACCCAACGTGCCAGACGTTGTCGCCGCGCTATTCTCTCCTATTTTTGTTTGTTTTATCTGATTGCAGATTATTGGCAGAAAGCGCCCTTCTGAGCTCGGAAAGGTTGCGACCCGTTAGGTTTTATTTCGTCGTTAATCCGTGAGCTTAACGTTTGAATGCACCTTGTTATCGATACGTCCGAATTATAATTAATATATTTTTTGTGATAGTCATTTAAAAAATTTTAACTCTGAAGAATAAATACAAGTGTTTTAAACTAAAAAATTGGCACAGTGTATTTTCATTGAGGAATTTGCAAGAGAGGTATGAAATGTAGGTTTGAGCACCTACAGTGTGTCAGCTGACCTCCCACCCACTTAATCTTACCTGTATCAACTTTCTCGCTACTCGCAGCACTTGACAGACTTCTCACTTTATCCAACAACGGAAACAGCACCTGCCACAAAACCGCTTGCCATGTCGATTGTTTCAGAAGGCTTCCGTGTGCCGATATGGTCGAGAACAGAGTCTGTCCGGCCGACTTTCTTACGGCCGGACGTGGATCGACACACAAATCGCCCAACCTCGCGTACAGACACATCCACAACTTATCAAAGCTGGGCATATTGAGGGTGCCAGGAAAGTCGGGTAAGACTGACGCGTCTTCGCTTAGATTTTGGGTTAGCTTCGCTTGATTTTGGTGGAAGTAATCGGAAATGTTCCACTAAAAAGAAAAGTTGTTATAAGGGAATAATAACCGTAGGCGTTTTACCATTAGGCCCACAGCAGTCAGTGAAATGTTCAGTTCTTGTGTTTGAGAACCGAATTTTGCGACAGTATCGACACATATCGGCAAACATCTCCAAGGCATCACCAATAGAAAGTCGGTAATAACCAATTGAAGGCATTGAAATGCTATTCGTATCAAATTTTCACTGACAAAAAAAATCAATTAGGCATAATCGACACATATTGCAATTTACCCATGATGATCTGATACAGCTCCAATTATTCCCAAGACTAACGGCCAGCCATGCGATAACGTCTCACCAGCTCCATGTAAGATCTGTAAGACGCACTCCAATTGGCGCTGCCTTACATCGCCATGAGGAACAGTCGACAGTTCTGCTAATGGTCCCAAAAGTAAAGTTTGCAACTTTTGATTCTCTCTCAAGGGTACAGGGTACTTATACTGCAAAGCGGACTTGACTAGGTACGTAATTGCTTCAACGCCCCACTCTCGCATTCTAATGTGCGGATGGTGGCAGACTTCTAGCAAATGGTTGGTGAGGGGGCGCCACAGCACTTCGATACGTGACATGTTGACCAGGCCCGTTTCCAAAAGCTTAGCGACAGCAAATAGTGATGGTTCCTAGAAATCAAGTATGTTAATATTTCGATAAAGTGTGCGAAAAATATTACTCGATTCGAATATGCCAGCTCCATGGCCTCCTGGGATAATTTACAGAGTGCGTTTATTAAATGATGCAGAGCTACATCATCTAAATACTGACTCGACTCAAACAACCTACTCAGCATGGTCGAAAGAACCGGCAAATCTGCCATGACCGCGGTCGTTATTACTGCGTTCGAATCTGCTGTTGTCCGGCCCGCTTTCAAACTGCCCCCTGTCGACGGTTTAAGTCCTAAGATCCATACTAGATGTTGTAGGGTGGTCAACACTAAGTGCCATGACGTTCCCAGAATGCTTCCGTGACAATGTGCCAGATTTAAAAGGGCTCTCATCGACTGGAGGTTTTTAGCGGTCAGCATGACCGGACCTTGCTGTGTACCTTTAAATAATATTATTGACACAATTTTGTATAGGCTAATGGCATTGGTTTATAGTTATTCCAGTTAAATCTTTGGGTAAAGTCCAGGGGGCGTGTTCGGTAAAGTGTTGAGCTAATGGGGAGGGCTACGTGAACGGACCCAGATCCAAAAATGGAACCAGCTAAAATGTTCTCAAGTATTCTTCTTATGGAAATAGTAACACTGAGGCTTAACCAACATTCTTAATAATAGAAACATTGCATTTTCTATTTTCTTCTAAATGCGCCATTTTATTCTGAATTCCACGCATTTAGGATTTGTGTACCTATCTGTCATAATTTTTGACACATCAATTTTTCTTTAAAAATTTTGACATTCAAAAATACATATCTTGTAACCGCTCATAAGTGAGTGCCCTTTTTTTATAATCGACGTTGAAGCAATTTTTTGAGTGACCGCTCCAAATTTTGTCGAAATGGAAATTTTTTCCGCGCCTCTATTTAGGAAATTTTGGTAAAATTTTTGCAAAACCATAACAAGAATACCCAGAAACTTAAAACCATTCCATCCTCCTAAATGGATTTGTTTACCGCGTACATGCAATAATAACAAAGTTTCCAGGACTTTCCAAAAATGTCAAAATTTCAGTTTTTTAAATTGCAACTGCTATTTCTGATGGCAGAAGTGAATCAATGAAGAATGAATTTTAGGCCCACTTTTATTAACATTCCTTCGAACCGAGGGATCTGGGGAGTTATGGAATACCACCTAGGAAAGAGACCTACAACTGTCATAAGTAGAGACCGGATTTCATGCTTTTATGCATTACGTAAATATTGTATGCAGCTCAAAATAAAGCAATAATTTACACGAACTAACAAAAATGAATCACATTGGCGCAAAGTGCATATTTTGCATTTTTGGGGTTTTTATGCATATTTAAGATACATTAGCATTTTATTAATTTTTTGAACCATGTTTATCACAAAACAAGTTTCCAGTGGTACAAATTGCAACAATTATATTTTTTTTATAAATAATAAAGATAAACAAATAATAAGTAAATCAAATAAAATAAAAATTATAAGATAGAAACAGAACAAAAGAAAACAATAAAACAGAAAAAAAAATAAAAGAAAAACAAAAAGAAAAAAAAAAATAAATGAAAAAAAAATATGGCGCCCAAGTTTGTTAAATTATAAAACGTCAGCGGTGTTCATTTCACCATTGATTTATAATGCAAGCAAATTTTCAAGTTCAACAAATGATATGACTAATGTTGGCCAGGGAAAATGTTTCAATAATTTTTTGTGCATTATTTAATTTTTCATGCATATCTTCATGTTTTTTTGTGCATATATATGTGCATTTTTGACGTGTTTTCATGCATATAAGTCCGATCCCTAGTCATAAGACCTTCATATACTGGGTGGTATTACCTATCCCCACATCCCCTGGTGATACGTTCTACATCAAAACGTTCAGCTCTCGCCTTTGTACAAAAATCATGGTGTTAAGAATAAGCAATACCAAACTGGAGGTCTGGGGGGTATGGAACACCCCCTAAGAAATGCAGATTTCAAATTTCCCTCCCTCCAGCTGTTATAAACCTTCTTAAATGCGTTAAATTCAGAGAAAAAAATAGAAAATGAAGAAAATCTATTTAAGAAACAAAGATGACATCAACGTCCGGTATTAACGGAATCGGCGCCATCTTGAAGTTATTTTATTTCAATCCGCAATGGTCGAGTGTGGCTGTGTACCAAATTTCAAGTTTCTATTTCAACTGCAACTACTGCAAGTTTAAATACTTCCTGTATAATGAGTTTTTTATGGTACTATATCCAACAAAGTTGCCATAAAAAAAATATGCCCCCCTAACGATGCAAAAGTATGGCACAACAACAAATTAAATTGGTAGCAAACTTTTTATATCATACAAAACTTCTTTGCAAAAATTGTAGTTTTGCAGATATATTCGGTGCACCCTGTATAAGTGCACAGGGGATACTTAAACAAGAAAAATAATTCCTTGAATTTAATGCATTACAAATTATGATTTAACATTCCGGTCTGATAAGAGTGCGTAATATTCACTAACATGTGTAAATTCTCAAGAGTAGTTCACACAGATTTTTGCCTTTACCTTTAAATGTAATTTGATCTATGTAAAAAATCAGATATAACTGAATACTGAACGATCCTCGAGAGCTTTGCAGATACATCATTTTTACAACACACCTTGAGGGATTGATTCTTTCCTACCAGATCAGCATAGCTTGTAAAACAAATTTTTGAGTCGGTATTAGTTTTACTTTTATTCGAGGTCCGTATACACGAAATCCCATTTAAATATCTGAACAAATAAAAAATTTGAAATTGCGCATGCGCAAAACAAATTTTTTGATTCAGCATTAGTTTTACTTTTATTAGAGGTGCATACATACAACATTTCACGCAAATCGGTTCGTAACTAACAGAGATGTCAAAAAATCGGATTGCGCACGCGCAAAACAAATTTTTTGGTTCGATATTTACTTTTATTCGATGTGCTTACATACAAAATTTCATGCTATTCGGTTCATAACTAACAAATAGTTTTCAACACATTACATGTCACCACGAGTGAAACAAAGATGGTAGCAATCTGAAGTTATAGTTTGTTTCACCAATAATTTAACATTTCTCATTAGGTCGTTAGTTAACTAGCGGGAATTCCCACTGCGACATTTAAAACAATAGGCCAATAGCCCCCATTTAACTAAAAGTCAGCGGTTCTCAAAGGAACTACATTTTAAATATATCGATTATTAAGCCGATTTATACGAGCACTACAATTTGGCGTTTGAAACATTAAAATTTTATTGAAAACCGCTGACTTTTAGTTAAATGGGGGCTATTGTCCTATTGTTTTAAATGTCGCAGTGGGAATTCCCACTACTTAACAACCTAATGAGAAATGTTAAATTATTGGTGAAATGAACTATATTGAAACAATTATTTAATACTGCTCTGTTAAGTAAGTGAAATGTAAGTTGGACAATGCTATATCTGATCCTTAGGCTCTAACCTGTGGTGTTCCCCAGGGATCGATATGAGGACCAACATTATTCAGTATTTATTATTTACTTGTTAGGAATATTAAATTTGCCGCTTCCCAAAAATACATGAAGACCATACCACCAAACCTAATCAATGACGCAGGATGAACTGCAGTTAATGTAAACTTTATTTATTTACAAGAGAAAGTGATCGCTACTTATTGCCCTTTGCCGTGAGTCGACCTTATACTTACCAACAGGCAAAGAAGATGTTGGTAGAGGAGTACCTACAGCCACAACCTGTTGTCGGTAATCTGATTCACCATAAGGAGCAATATACTGCGAATGAACATCTTGACTGTCACTTCGTTGTACTGAAAACAGTAAGAGAGTTATCAAGCACCCTCGCTATAATTGATTACTTCTTAAATTCATTCCTGGCGTGACTGCGTTTAATATTGTTAAAGCATAGTGTGGAGGAAGTGAAGATTTACAGATGGCGGTAATGAACGCGTCTCTCGGTATTTGCAAGTCGAGCATACCGCAAAGCGACGCGTACGTTTGCACAGCTTTCAAAACATTCTCCGTGATCGATTCGTCGGTGCTAGCTTCAATTAGGGGACTTAACGCCGCCACTAGTCCGCACCAACTCGAGTTGATTAGCTGACAGTGTAGATCCTTATCCTTTTCGTTCGATACGAATGTCACGGTTTGCCCGTCGGTTGTCTGTTGTGGGACAATCGTTATATGAAGGGAACGAATGATTTCTAATAAGCAAGCATATGCGATTGATATTCCGTAGCCGTCGGGTATTAGTGGCGGTTCTATTTTATCTAACACTTCCAAACTAAAAAGGCGGGTTAATAACACCTTCGCAATACCAACTCTCCTTACTATGTTGATTTGGCTGTACCGGTAGGAAAAGTAATCACAACTGGCAACCAGACTCCTCTGGAAAAGAAACCGGGTTGTGGAGAAACGCCTGGACCTGAAGGTATTCCCCCGCTCAGAAAAACAGGTGGCTGACCTTGCGTTACTGGAACTGCGCTTGGTGTTACCAAAGACTCTTCAAAGATGCCTGTGAAGTTAGTCGGACCAATCTTTAGTGCGATTGTTTAGTGTTTGTTTAAATATTTTGTACGTTTGTCTGGATGCATTTTTTAAACTATTCTCAAAGCTTCACAATATTCGCGCCTATTTTAGCAATGGTCTACTTGGCGATAAATTCTGTAGAATTTAGTGCTGTGCAAAAAAACGAGTAATTGATAACTTATCGATAATTATCGATTAATCGACGACTGATAAATTAAAAAAAAATTATCGATTAATCGATAATTATCGATAAATTAGTCAATTAAAAGTAATGCTTTCAAAAAAACGATTAATCGATAATTATGGATTAATCGATAAGTTATCGATAATTTATCGAAAATTTGCGTTCAGCGTAGTTAATTTAGTGAAAGGTGTGTTTTCTTTGTGTGTAATTCATAGCAATTATTTGTAATTAATGACATTAACGCTTACTGTTGGAATACCCAAGCCCGAGCCTAATTCTCAACTTCAAATCAAAGCAGCCATTCATTTTGCGAGACCCAGGATCCTCTGAGCCTCAGAAAAAAGTGGTCACTTACACGATTTTCGTACAAATTCAGTGCTCGTTATCGATAATTATCGATTAATCGATAACGTTATCGATTAATCGATAGTGGATTAATTTTTAAAAAAATGGTCGACTAATCGATAATTTATCGAAAATTATTGAAAAATGTATCAATTAATTGTGATTTTAAAGGATTGGTCGGTAAATCGATAATCTACCGATTAATCTTACATCGATTTATCGCAAAAGCGATCAAGTAAGAGCATTCCAGAGTTGGCATGACACTTATAAAATATGATCACAATTCACAACCTACTTTAGGCTGCTTGACGTGAATTAGATACTATTATGCTTAATTACCGTTTCTGTTAAAAACTAATAATTTTGAGGTTATTGAAGGACATACCAAATTTTTGAGGATTAGGTACTGTCTAGACTCTAGTTGATCACCTTTGATTTCAAAAAACTATGGCATACCTATGGTTGTTTTAATATTTTTCAAAACATCCTGTTTTTATTTAAATTATCAATATCAATACCAAAATTGTTAACGAGTGTACACATTGAGAATATATTTATATCGATAGGATTTATGATAAAGTATCCATAGTTTTCTCTCGATAATTATCGCTATTCAATAAATCAATAACAATCAGAGATCGACAATTTTCGACAGATGTCAATAATAATCTATTATTATCGACAATTAACGATTATTATTATCAAACGTTAGCGATAATTATCAAAAGTTATCGATACTTATCAAAACTTATCGATAATTAACGATTATTATCGAAAGTTATCGATTAACGATTAATCGATAATTATCGGACTAAACAGACTTATTAATAAATCGATAACAATTTCATTTATCGCCCAGCAAAAAATTGTTTTGGGCGACGTGGCTCTGTCCTAGGCTCTGCCTATTGAGGAAAAGGAGGTCGTATGTTTCGCTATTAATAACTATTGTTTTAACATGAGCATATAAAATATTCGTAAGAAATCCCTGGTGACGCGTCCATTGGGGATGTAAAAAATAATTTTTAAAAACCATTTGGGCAGCCGCTGAAACCGAGCCTATGTTCCATCCGTGAGTGGCACATTTGGGTGAGGTGGAACGACGCAAACCGCTAGTTGTACATATTTTTCATTAACAATGGTTATGTTGGCCACTTTAACTGCCAGAGCTAACCATTCTAGAGTTTCTTTACACCATTAGAAAAAAAAACTGTTTTCTTCTTATTTATTGCCACAAGCATGAATTAACGTCATGCATTTTTTGGGTTACCTTTAGCTTCTAATATTTTATTATATTTATCAGTTACGAGAACTGCAGTATACCTATATGCATTGCGACATGAGCTTGTGAGGATACCACCATGTCCAGTTCATTAATATACAGGGTGTTAATTAATGTCATGCAGATATTTCAGGGGGTACTCGTCAAAATAAGAAAACAAGTTGTAAATCTGTATGATTAAAGCGCATTTTTGGTAATGCAGGTCAGTAGGTATTTAATTAGCGAAGTTTAAAATTATCGATCTCACGAGTAATTTTGGCTCCGTTAAATAATTAATTTTATTTAATAAACGTCTTTAATTTTGTAAAACAAATCACAAAGTAAATAATAAGTTTTTATACTGGTAGCGCTATCTAACGGTAAAATTATAGCACCTCCGAAAACCATATTGAAATTATTTTCTTCAATTACCGATCTCACAAATAATCCAACTAAAAATAGACTAGTGCCTGCACATCTACACTATAGCAGAAAGCTTTTAGTGAAAATTTGAAGTCTCTAGCTATTGTAGTTGCCGAGATCTCACGCGAACAGCCGCCCGGCCAGCCATAACGAATATAATAGCGTATTTTTTCAAAAATGCGCTAAAAATGATCTAGAAGCCGTCGTTTACGTTATACAGGGTGGCAAAGAAAATGTAACACCCTGCATACTGCAACCAACTATTTTAATACTTCCTTGTAGAAATTCAAAAAAATAATTGATGTATCAAATTGCAACATTATCTTGTAACTATCCAAAATCTCGCATTCATTTACAGACCTTGTAAAAATAGCAAAATAGATGTTAACTCTACTTCAAAATCGAGTACTGAATTTGTACGAAGATCATGTAAGTGGCCACTTTTCTCTGAGGTTCAGAGGATCCTGGGTCTCGCAAAATGAATGGCTGCTTTGATTTGAAGTTGATAATTAGGCTCGGACTTGGGTAATCCAACAACGGTACGCGTTAATGTCATTAAAAATAATTGCGATGAATTACATCATGGAATTCAACCACTCTTACACTTTTCCGGGTCGCAGGATTTAACTTTACGCTATTGTTTATTTGTATTTAAATTCGCTACTATAGGCGTACGCTATTTCTCCTCGAGTAGTATTTTTACAACACACCCTTCACTAAATTAACTGCGCTGAACGCTTCACGCAAATTTTCTCACGCGGTTCAACGTGAATGTCACACTCACACAAAATATAGAAACCACCCTGCTGTAATTTACAAGTGCATAACCTAACTTCGCCTACGGTTCAACGCACATTGCCTAACAGCTCTCTCCGAAGAACCAAATGCGCCCTACTTTTCTGAGTCACACGCATTCCGTAGTTCACACCTTCTCCACTAATAAAACTAGAACTCTTGATACCAATAACTGAACTACATGGGGAGTGATTTCCCGTTGAATCAGCAAATCTCAAGACAAGCTTGATTACCGGATGCGACTCTTACAGAATCGGCTCGTAATTCTAGCTAATCTCGTCACGTCCTACGACTTCTCGGCGTCTCGAGCTTTCACACGCATTTCAAGAGTCAGGACCGTATTTACGAAAATGATAATTTACCGAATCAAAAAATGTAAATTATCGCGCACACTTTCAAAACATCACCCAAACAAATAGTTAAACAATCCTTTGCAGTACACTTTTTCGTATAAATTCATAATTGGTCAAACCAACTTCATAGGCATGAACGAAAGTACTTACTTGTCGACGCACACTGCAGCTGAGGATTCACGAATAGTGACTGAACATATGCGCCTAACGAGTTTACAATATCCTGAAAAATGCTAGTCGTATGTTTCTTAAGATCGTAACATTCACAAAACGAGTTTAACAGTTCGGGTTGTATGGTCATTTTATGTAAAACCTCGAGCGCCAACGATCGTTGCCACGTTGGTTTATCAGGATCTAGGAATTTCACGATTAATGAAAGAAATATTTCGCATTCAGTTACCTAAATACGAGATATAATTAAATTAGCAATTAAGATATGTATATAGCTATTACCAATAAACTGTGATATTTTTGTATTAAAATTGAAACGACTCGAAGTAGTCGCATACTAATGGGAAAGTACGGTTTGTCGAAAGGTGTCGCTTGCTGTATGCTTGCGGGAATGGAATTGCGATATTTAATGTTGGGAGAAAATAACTTAATTACTAACGCGCAGACGCGCTCTTTGAGTAGGAAGCTGAATTCGGCATTCTGAAAAATCGGTTTTACACTTAGAATAAATACTTAGGCCATTCTTACCTTGAAGAAAACAATGGAAAATTGTGTCAGTACGGACTCGAGCAGTTCTAAACCGAAAGTCCTCGTCATTTCGGTCATGCCAATTAGCCAATATGGCTGATCGGCGTTGACTAATTGCACTAAGTCTTGGAATAGTAGATAGGCGTCGGAGGCGCACGGTGGTAATCCCTTTGGCGCGACACCGCTGGGCGTCTTCAGATCTTCCAAATTGACTTGTCGAGGTAAAGGATGGCCCTCTAGCTCGCATATTTGTTCATCTTCAGCCACCACTCTTTCGAAAACGAGATTGACTAATTGGCGTACGGTTGCGCCGGCTGTATTTATTGTAGTCGAATTTTTAGTAAAGTGTAGCCGAAAACATAGCACCAACGTCTAGAAGAACAATGAGTGATTCTACGCTAATTGCTGTCCTTAAGTACCCTTGCTAAAGTCTCCCCATGTACGATTGTATTCGTTGTAAGCAGTAGGGTTACCGATTGCAGAACTTTTACCTCCTCGATTCCGGACTCCATTAAACTCCACAATGTATCCGTTATGTATCTTGCACCTTTTTGATCTACCACTTGTTGAGTTATAAGTTTTTGTATAATAGGGAGACAACACTAGAACAAACGTTTTAATTAAGTAAAACGTTCACTAACGTTATTTAATTATTGCCGCTTTTTGGGCTAATAGGATGAAATATTTGGTAAACTAAATTGTCACAAATAGTGACCGATACACTTCATTTTCCTTTTGTGAGTACTCTTTTTCGATATTCAACATTTTCAGATACAACCAACCTCAACAGAGGATGATTATTATTATTATTATATGTCTATCCAGGGCCTTAGCTAAAATAGGCCCCGCTCTTAAAAATTGCAATCATGCTCATAAATGATCAAATATAAAAACAGGTGATTGGTATTTGGAATTACTGTAACGAACCACCCGTTTTCGTACAGGAATCATAACAGAATTTACGAACCCCCTGTATTTAGGGTTCAGACGAACTCAAAACAAAGACTTCCTTACGAGAAACTGTTGTTCTAGACCTAGGCAGTTTTTTGCTAGGAGAAGGTAAAAGTAATTCCTTTGATTTCTAGAGTTGTATTTTAACCAGCTGCCGAACATCATTGTGAAGTTTCTAATTGTTCCCATAGAGGTACACAAATTATTTTTGTAACATCCGACAGCCATATATTTGGTATTAGTCAATTTCAATTTCGCAATGTTAAACCAAAACGAGAATTAAAGCTGCAAGGGCCCTGCAGTTTATTTCACTATCGCAGACCTTTTGCGATTGGCCCGAAATTCCAGGTAACGATAGGCATTACTGGGCCCCCAAATGTGAAAATTTTAATCCGCCCAATTAACTCAGTATAATTTAACCATAGTTGCTGCAAACTTTGTATGATTAAATTGGGCCTAGTGTCATCATGACATTCAAGATTAGTACCCAATTTTTAGGACGTCAGGGAGACCGGTAATAAAATAAGGAAGTTTTGGACGTTATCAACCGAGTACGCCGAATTCCATTTTAACATTTTTGAAAATTCTATATAAGGTATTGGCATGATTTCGAGGAGATCTTTTGCATTTGCCGCTTTGTTCGCGTGCGTTTTAGGCCGTTTTAGTTTGTTTTTTCAATTGTACAACAACGAATCGTTTATTTCCAAGTAATAATTCTGTTTTAGATTTTCGCCAGTGACCGCCGTCAATTGCCCGGGAGTTTTCCGATTCTCCGTTTGAGTGCCAGTAGGATTCGGGAATGGAAACCGTCCCTTAACCAGAAGCAAGGGCTGAAACCTCCTGGTGGCACCCGAGAGAACCGTACCGTTCCAATGAGACCGCCGCCTATCAAAGATTCTTAAAATGTTTAAAATTGTCTAATAGACTCACTCACTTTGGTCGACTGGCTGACTGGTAGCAAATGCGGGACCTTAGAAGAACGCTTGTAGAAAGGCGAGGAGTGTACATGCAACTACCAGGGCCGTGTAATTAACAACTGTAGGGACGGGGCTGCATGATGTGGGGTCCGATTGGTGTCGTCAGAAAGAACTTGCAAAAGCACACAACGGAATTTTGTTTTTTTTTCCTAGGGGGGAAATAAAGCACCTTTTGCAACGCTCGCGTTTTCAAGGGGGCGTCCAAAAGTTTCTTAGAGCACGAATCGCGGTCTCGCATTCTCGTGTCGCCAATAGAAGTATGAGAAATGCTTCAAAAATTGAGAACTATTTTGTCGATGGTTTTTAGTGAAATTCATCAAAATACGAATTGTGGGCGGGCGGGACGTCGGAAGTGGGTACCCCCAAAGAGAATGTGGTAGCCTTCGACAAGATTTTATGTTTTGATGGAGGATCCCCAGGAATCACAACTGGTTAATAGAATAGTGATCTGCCATACAAAAATGCGAGTCCCTTCGGTCTCACATGAGGACTTTGGTAATTTTTTAAGAATTAACAAAAATGTGCTATTGTTTGCGTTTTGTCCGTCCGCCCGTCCGGACCCACTTCCACAGTTTTGAACTACTTCTAGGGGAATTTTCCTAGAGTCCTGGAATTTTTGCATTATGTAGCCTATACCTTGAAAGTGTGCCAGACGGCCATCAAATTTCGCTGTCTAAAAGGGGCCCCCCCCCCCACGAATTATTTCCCGAGATGCTGAAAGTGAAACGTGCATAGCTCTTACATACGACAACCAATTGGTCTCAGATTTTGCATACGCATGCCTTTAGTGGTTCCAAGTTAAACTTTAAGGAATGGGGGGGGGGGGGGGGAACACATGTTCTACTATTTTACCCTTCATGGTATTCTAATGAAAAGTCTCATCGAAATAAATTGGTTTGTACAAACTAGGGGGTTAAAAATTAATTTTTATCTCTCATTGTATTCTAATTAAAGGTCTCAACGAAAGGAACCGTTTTCGACCAACTACTGCCCTTCTTACTGTCCTCTTATCAAAGTACGGGGCAGAGCAGGGGGGAAGTGGAACTAGTTGTATCCTTCATGGTACTCTAATGAAAGGTCTCAACAAAAGGAATTAATTTCTACCAACCATAGCCCTCCTCCTCCACCTCTTATCGTGATCGGGTATATTCCCTTATACCTCAAGAACGGATTGTCGGAAGAGGGTACTCACACAGGGCGATTGAGACGTCAGCAAGAAATATATCCATTGGTGATGTCAAAACAAAAGCTATTTCGATTTAAAAAAATGCGCTTTATCTGCACAATTTATACTTGTTTTTAGATAAACTCGATGTTGGAAAGTATAGTCTTTTATATTTGACTTGGGCAAGTTGCATTTTTGGTTTTGTTAGATAAAAGCCCTTGATTTCTTTATTTATTAAGTTATCGGAAATGTTTATTATAAACAATAGTTGCATAATTTACAGTTTTCAAAATTAGTATACAGGGTACGCAAAAACGTTATCGGACCTAACCTCATTTTTATTTAATGAAACATTCTGTATATTTTAATCTATACGATAGCATACTAAATTCTCTTTTCAAAACTATAGCACACCAGGGATGACATTAAAAAAAAATTTAAGCGATTCAAAAAAATTCATAAGAAATTAAAAAAGAAATCATTCAAAAAATACAAATTTCACACAATTTTTGAATTTTTGATTATATTTAAACTTATTTTTAATCTTTTTGAATTGAATCCATTTAAAAAATGAGGTTAGGTCCACTAACTTTTTTACCTGACCCTGTATCCTTATTTTGAAAATTGTGCAATCATGATCGTTACAAAGGAAACTTTTCTAATAACCACATTTCCGATATTGAATTAAGTTTTACTATCGTTGTCGGTGATTAAAGTAGGATAGATGACGTTTTTGTATCAATTTTGTTTCTCAATGATAAAAATTGACTTTTATTAGAAATTGCGCAAAGCAAAAGTTGACACCCACGTTATAGACAAAGTTGATAAATTAAGAGTTGGGGTGCATTACATTTCACGATCGTTATAGAAGGTTAAGGTAGGTCAGATTAAAGGTATCAATTTTTCTTCTCAATGTCAAAAATGGATTTTGACACCCACCTGATGGACAAAATTGGTAAATTAGAGGTTGGACTGGATTACCTTTCATGATCGTTATAGAAGGTTAAGGTAGATCAGATTAAGGGATTGTATTTTGATTTTGTCTAGATTTTGCTTCTAAATGTCAAAAATGGATTCTTTATTAAAAATCATGCAAAGCAAAAGTTGACACCCACCTTATAAACAAAGTGGTACAGGTGGATTCAGTTTTACAATCGCTATCGTTAGTTAAGTAGGGTAGATTTGGTGTATCAATTGTCAATCGGCTTTATGGTAGAGCATTGGGTTATAAAATCCGGAGGTCGGGTGTTCGAACCTGGGTTGAGGTGAATTTTTCATCTGTGGCGGAGATGGAAATTACCTTAGACCAGTTCCGAGCATTCTACCGGCTACTCCGAATTAGGTTTTCCTGCATTTCCACTTGCATTCATTTCCCATTTGTAAGATGCAAGTTCTATTAAAATCGTAAAAATCCGGCCACAAATATGAAAGATAGCGTTGCAAATGTGCAATCCATTTTTGACGTGCTATTGAATTTCAGTTTATAAGAAGAATTTCATTTCAATTGTCACTGCGCATGCGCAAACCTAAATTTGGAAACTAACGTTAGATTTTCCTTTGTTCCAAGCGCCGCCTATGTATCAAATTTCATTTAAATGCTTCCATGAATAAAAAAGTTGGCACTGCGCATGCGCAAAACTAAATTCGGAAACGGGCGTTAGATTTTCCTTTATTCCAAGTGCGTATGTATCAACAGACGGACAGACCAACAGACAGACGACAGACAGCAATACGGCGGGCGGACAAAGTGGCCACAACAGCGCATTTTTTTTATTTTTGTGGAAATGCGCTAAAATAGATTTTTTATTAAACATCTTGAAAAGCAAAAATTGACACCCACCTTATAGACAAAATTCGTAATTAGGGGTTGAGATGGATTAAGTTTTACAATCTTTGTCAAGGATTAAAGTAGGGTAGATTACGTTTTTGTGTCAATTTTGTGAGCAATTTTGTTTCTCAATGTCAACAATGAAATTTTTTATAAATCGTGCAAAAGCAAAAGTTCAGATCCCTTATAAAGTTGATAAATTAGGTGTTAGGGTGAATTAAGTTTTACAATCTTTGTGGAGGGTTTATTTATTTATTATCCCTCAAAAAGCTTGCGCCCAATTACATCTTCAAATTTTGATTTTGCAAGTAATCAAAAATTTAAATTTATTGCACACTTAAGGTGGCGTTTACAAAAAGTGCAAAAGTTGCCTTGCGATTTCCCCAATAACTTTGTTTCGAGGTAAAAAAATAAACTTCTGCTAACTACCAATGGTTGCTAAGGGTTTAAGCTTGTGAATGAAATTAAATTTGATAACAAATTATTATCAGTGTGTGATAAAAATGAAAGATATATATTTTATATGGGAGTTTTCGAGGGAGTTTTTTAACTTATATCCTAAATAACGGAGAAAGTGCAGGAATTAGCTAAATAATTTTTGTTTCATGCAAATGTCGGAACATTATATATTTGAATAAATGCTATTTCAACCAAAAATTTGTACCCAGAAAGTAGTTATTGTGGAAACAAATTTCCAATTTTTCAATGTAAACGCCACCTTAATCACTTAATCACTAATAAATTAAGGATTAAATGGCAGATCAAATCTATGGAGTGCACTACTTTACATTCTCCTATCGTGTACAAAACTTCTATGAGGCGTCATTGCACATATACCTATTACTGGCAAGTCCATGGAAGTTTATTCCTGTCCAGGGGCGGACTGGCACGGAGGGGCGGGTGGCGATTGCCACCTAGCCTGTAGATTATAATGGCCCGTTGGAAATTTATAAGTATGTGCTGTATTTAGTTTCTTGACCTATTAATAAATTATTAACACGTTTTTCTAATTGGGGTTGATGTTAGGTTGTTAAAAAATTCTGTTTTAATTGAAGTGTTTTACAATGAATTTATCATTTTTTGTCGTAGTATTTTGAAAGTGCTGAAATACAATGATAGGCGACGCATCTCGTGTGGATTGTATATTTTGTTACTTTTAATTATCAGCTGCAATTTTAAAAAAACTGTATGGTAATTGATTTTCGAGAAAGGAGTACTTTAAAATGTTTTTGTGGTGCACCTCAGAGCTACACTACACTAATACATTAATGGCCCGTAAGTACTCAGTCCGCCCCTGTGTATAACCTTCCTTTTTTACCAAAATTCAACTACACCAAAATTTCTCGGGAAAACACTTTTTCTTATTAATTTGGGTGCGTAGATTCCAAATCAATTCGTACTTTTTCGATCAGACTTCTCAATCAAAAGTTATAGACTAGGAACCAATTTCGAAAAAAAATTCAAAGGGCTGTAACTTTTGAACTAGTAGCCCAATCTTGGAACTGTTTGAAATTATGGATTCTACAGGCCACATTCTGTAAGAAAATTTTTTTCCGGGGCGATCTGAGACAATTTTTTTTTCGGGGCTCAAAAAAGGCAGTGTATAACCTTCCTTCCAAAAAAGATAACAACAAAAATGAACACTTATACCAACAATGTTATTTATGTAAAAAATAATAGTCACAGTCAAGGGAAAGAAACTAAACTGGATCCTCTATGGAATTGGCGGTCAGCCTGCCCAGACCAATCAGAAAACTTCGCTTGATGAACACCAACTAACTGTGATTACTCATAATTTGCTTTCCAGTATAAACGCAAAGTTTTCTGTTACAGTTAGAAATTGAAACATTCTTTTAATGAACACATTAGATTAGATAACTCCTTTAGCTTCAAAAATGCAACCGGTGAGAAGTGAATCAGTACACAATCTGATTGCGCAATGTGAACCGATTCACACCTCAAAAATGCAATAATTAATTTTGCAGTGAAATTACTTACCTTAATAAGTTTGATATCTTTCGATTCACAACCCTGTACCAAGGGGTACATTACTTGATTGATGATGTAATACAAAGAGCTCTGTGCGTTTGGTCCTGAACTTCGCAACTTAATGATGGCTTCCTCGCACGACTAAAATTCGTATAAGTTAGATAAACAATTTACAATTGATCTCACCTCTTTAATTTGCGGATACTTCTTTTTGGTCTCGACTGATAGGTTTTTAAAGTCATTTTGTAGGCTTTCGAGGAACGCATGGGACATATCGGTGGCACTCGAACTTTCAAATGCCATGTTTCATTGATAAATTACGAATATTAAATGTTTACAATTCAGTTCTTCTCATTTGTTGGCATTCACACTATGAGCTGAGGTGGCACATAAAATCACAATCTTTTACAACACAGAAGATACCTATACTAAGATCAAACAGTCAGAACTCTTCTAATTTGGCAGTCCCATAAAGGTTTTTATTTCCATTCCACTATCGGGATACAATTTCAATTACACCCATAATAATTAATTAATAATTGAAATTGACAGACTAAACGTAACTGACGTGTGACGTTATCTTTTTTTTGGAAAACAAAATACATTGAAGTTAGATACATAAACAATACTTTATTTTTTTTCATTTTATTGTGGACATTTCAAAATTCTGAACGTAAAGTGACCTTTAAATTGGTTAGAGCGTTACAAAAATCATTGCAGTTTAAATTTCAGGCAAATTTATCGGATATTCAGGAGCATTGACAATGTGGCTAACGTAGAGGCAAATGGGACGTTAAAAAACCGGACATTTGTATTTTAACACAATTCATGTACAGGGTGTTTCAAGAAGGACATATGCAAAATCACTCATGAACAGGGGTCGGAACCCATATGAAATATAGGTTCTAGCTCCGCGCTATTTAGGTAGAATCATTTTTTAAGTCTTCCAGCACCGGTTCTATGGCGACAGTAATTTTCAGTTCGGGTTCCGGTTCCAGTTTTTTTTCTTCAGTTTTTAAGGGTTCCCACATAAATAAATAAAATTATTATTAATTATTTATAAAAGTCCATTATGGTCCAAGGAAGACATATTTTAAATAGAGGAAATGTTAATTAGAGGGCCCCTCTCGTATTGCTAAGATGTCAGCAGCTGCGATCCGCACGAGACGAACAGGCAACAGATAAAGCGAAGAATCGGACTGTATTAGATACCTACTCCACGAAGACAGAGAACCACTTATATACATCAGAAACATTAAATTAGAGACCCTCCCCTTTTCGTATAGCTTACGCACCGTCCGGTAGCGAGACACGAAGAAGGTATAACAGATACAGCAAAGAATCAGAGTGTATTAGGTACTTGCTTCACGGAATAGTTAAATTCAATCGAGCAGAGGAACATTACACTGCTAATATATTTTCTCGTGAATACAGAATTAAATACTTAATAAATAATATAAAAGTCTAACCACCTGTACAGTAAAGCAAACAAACATGATTCATAATATAACAGTCCTCAAAACAAAAGCATGGAGTACACCTGGCTTCAATAATAAATATTTTATGCAAAATGTAAATAATAAGAAATTGTGACACGAAATTCAATAGTTAATAGTTAGTACAAGAAGGAATATAATTACTACCTGTAAATACACTTCTTAAAAACAACAAACTAAATAAACGCTACACCCTCCATTGCCTTCCAACCGAATCTCGTTAACTGCAACTATATGGTTAACTGACGCTAACATTCCCCCCCAAGCTTCGTTATGAAAATCCCTAGTCTTTGGCATTTGCGCAGAACGGTTGAAATCGCAAATGTAGCACGCTTGATTATATACAGAGCATTTCGTATGCTTGTAAGTAAAGGTGTGCTGCCTAACCATAGGGGTAGATTATCATACTGAGACACAACGAAGCGCCTATTTATAGCGGACCTTCATACACACGAGCGGTCGCAAAACTGGTGGAAACTGGGTGCTTCGTTACAGAAATATCGGGTTTTGATTCTGATTTTTAATGTCGACTGTGCGGCTGTTAGTTTTTTTTTCAACAACTTGTCCCCCCCCCCCTCCCCCAACAGCATAAACATACTTTCAATATTTTACGCAAAATTAATTTTAATGTAATACTTTTTATTGTACAATTTAGCAACCACCATGCTTGGAACCGAAAAAAAACGTTATGAACCGCAACCTTTTTTACGGTTTTATGCAAGAGTTTATTCAGAATGAGAATCTAAAAAATACCGGTATCGGTTCCAATTGCCACCACTTATGCACAGTGCCGATTTCACTGCCAGTACCAATGTATAAAATCGGTTCCAAACAATGAATGCGATTAATCGAACTGTATAAATTTTGTGTCAGTTGTTAGCGTAACCCCATAAACAGCTCACGGTTGACGGTATATTTACCACCACGTAAAAGATCAAAGGCGACAAAGGCAAGACTTGCAGATGTGTTGCACACTGACTCCTCGGTATTGCGCAAACGCAAGCGCGCTAAAATTTGAATTTTCGTACAACTGTCAAGTTTAGAGGTAAATAATACACATAACCTGCAAACGTTATAATGGGGCTATTGTAACTGGAATTCACAGTGATGACCGAAAGCTTTATCATTGTATTTATAAATACAATAGCGCAAATTCAAATTTAAGCGCGCTTACGATTGCGCAGTACCGAGGGAGTCAGTGTGCAACATATCTGCAAGTCAAAGGCAAACAATGCCAAAGGTTAATTATTTTGCGATTAATAATTTGCATAGAGAAATAAGTCTTTACATAAAACGAAGTTCTCCAGATGATTCGCATTTACAAGCTCCATAGCATATAATTAAAGAGACTACGTGAACACAATGACCTCAAATTTAACAAACTGGCGACAATCAGCCACAGTGATAATTGCGGCGAAAACCTTTTTGACTTCCACGTCGAAATGCAACTACAAAATATTGATGGTAAAACGGAACAGAAAATCGTCGGTCCTACCAAGCGCGACGGTTTTTCCAGGCGGTGCGATTGACAAATCGGACACTTCTCACGATTGGCTAAAATTGTACGAGAAATTTGGTTTCAAATCAGAATGGCTGGATTCGTTAAATTCGAAGATTGACACTTCCTTACTTTTCAAAACTGACGACGAGAATGAAATACCTAAAAGTATATCTTTGAGAATTGCTGCCATTCGAGAAACGTTTGAAGAGACTGGTATATTAATGTGTAAAAACGTAAAGAATATTTCTGACGAAACGTCTTCGTGGGCTGACTACATAACATCAGAAGAGGTACAAAAGTGGCAAACCAAAATTAACAAAAATCCGAATGAGTTTATGAAGCTATGCTTGCATTTCGAAGTATTTCCAGATCTTTGGTCCCTGTATGATTGGAATAATTGGGCTACGCCTAGTCCGGTGCGGGCGAAGTTTAACACCATATTCTTTATGGCAATCTTTCAAAGCAAACCACCCGCATTTGCCGATAATGGTGAAATATCAGAAGTGCAAGTAAGAAACGTATGACGTACTGAAAAGGTGTTGAATGATTTTTAGTGGAACTCTCCCTCACAATATTTGGATATATGGGAAGCAGAAAAGTACCTGGCGACTATACCACAATTTTACGAGATTTCGCGATTAAATATCATTACAAATATTAATGATATCCAAAAGTTTTGCAGGGAACGCAGTCATAGCGTTTTGGAAAGGTATATGCCATGCATTGTAACTACCACCTCAGGCACTTTTTTCCTACTACCTGGTACTTATTTTAAATCTTGGGATTTTTGAATTTTAATGTTGATTTTTAGGTGATGCACTGTACTCAAAGTACCTAGATGTGTCTAAAGACAATGTTGACTATTTAGAAGAAATGCCTAATAGTGATGTGCAGCACAGAGTTCATATGCTACCTACTGGGGAAAGAAGACTAATAATAAAAAACTTTTCACCTGTATATTATGTTTCTCCAATAAGTAGCAAATTGTAAATACATATTGAATAATAATAAAATATATAATAAATAGAATGTATATTTTTTTACAATGTCAATGAACAGTATAGAAACTATCACTTACTTTTCATCTAGATTTTGACATTTTTACGATTTTCACACAAAGATGAACAAGAAACAAAACAGTGAGCTGCACATGTTTCTTGGTGGAAAAAATTAATGTCTAGGGATCAGGTATACAGGGAATTTTTATTAAATGTAGGTATGCTTAAAAAATACTGATCCAAAGCATGGAATAGATGGTTATAATAGGCAACCAACTCTACACAATTTGTTTTAAATGATTATTTAATGTCAAATTAGAGTCTTTATTTTTATTATTAGCATCAAATTGTGATTTTTTAACACAAAGATTTATTTATAACAAAGACGATGAGGTTGAAATATTAACTTGATATCAGGGAGGTAACAAAACTGTAAAAACAGCTCCAGTTTGTCGTGTGTAATGTTGGTTGCCTACAGCCATCCATTCCATGCCGTGATCCTAAGTATCCATTCCATGCATTTGATCCGGTTTTTTTTTAAAAATAGGTAGGTATACATAGCACATATGTATACATTTAAGACAAATTCTCTATGTAGTTTGTATGGGTTAAACAGTTAACTGTTCAATTAAAGTTTTAAGTGAACCATTATAACAAATGTAATAATTTAGCAACCACCATTAAAATAGATTATTAACGGCTAATTAACTACCAAATTTGTTAGGGGTGGCTGTGACACAATATCTTGCTATGAATGCGATTTGCTTCCAATGGGTCCGGGTACCTGCTTGGATGCGCAAAAACCTTTATGAACCTGAAAAAAAACCGGAACCGTCAAGTATTTTAAAACATAATGGTACCGGTAAAGCAGTTTAGCGGCATCCAATACCGCATCCCATCGCGGACCAGCTATCTCGACCGGCTGTTTGTGTCGTGGCCAAGGACTTCAGATCAGCCATGGCGGAAAATCATGCGTTATGGTTATATGTATCACTGAGTTAAAGATGCGAGGGGTCTTATAGGCTCAAGTGCCGGACCAAGAGGAGTCAACCTCATTTTAAAAAACCTCAAGCCGAAAGTGGAACAGCTTACGCCGACTGGCTGGATGATCGGTTATAGATGAACCGGTGTCTAGTAAGCGAACTCTCTTGAGAACTCAAGTTTTAAAAACACCCTTTTCCTCTTATATGGAGTTCTGCGGTAGATAACCGACCTTTCTCCAGTTCTCGCGGGACGCGCATGGTAGAACCTGATAAAATAACAAAGAGGGAAGTGCTCCTCTAAGCGCACTTGAAGCCCTTGGTGCTCCGCCAAAGTCAGGCAGCAGTTGCCTCAACCAGTGCGGAGTCACATAGTGCAGATGAGGCTGCAAGTAAGCTGGGTGAGGCTATGCCCAAAATCGAGTGGAAACTCAGGCTCCCCAAAATGAGCACCGGCCCGGCAATAAAACGGTACCGGTACCATTGGCTGATGCAACACGGTGTAGACGTGGCAGCACGTACCGCCGAGTAAACAAAGTAATTCATTAAGGCCACATTACAAAAAGCTACGGGATCGAGCTTCCGTCTTCAACACTAAAGCCCTACGGTCCATTACTGGGCTGTTCACAGGCCTTATACAGCCTAAATACAATCAACATAAGATTGGAAAACCCCTTGAAAACTATATCGCACTGTATATGTTACGCCGCACAATTAAATATCGAAAACGCTCAATGTGCGAAAATAACGTACATAAAGCGTTATGGACAAAGTAAAATGACCAAACACCGAAATTAAATACTTTTCCGTGTTATGGTCGTGAACTTATGCCCATAACGCGTTGTGGTCATTTTAGAAGCGCCCACAATGCGAATTGGGTGGTTTCAATCATTGAAATAAAAGGTTTCAATCAACCACAACGGATTTTTTCAATTTTAACGTGTTTCCTTATTGTGATATACCTATCGCTAGTAATTTAGTTATTAGTTTGATTTCAAGTTAGTAATTCTAAGAAATGGCATTGTCGTTCTCAGCAAGTACCTACTATGCAGCTCCTGACTATAGCTCTTGTACGAACAAATAATTTGTACAATTTGGTTCAATATCTGTTTTAATTAAAAATTACTTGTTTTATTTATTTAAAGATATGTACTTGTTGTAAATGGTTTATGATTTTTATTATTTAATTATTATCATGTGAGTAAAAGGATTAAATAATAAAAGTAATAAAAAAGTGTGTCAATCATATTCTGAATAATAAAATCCTATCATCCCAATTCATCGTTATTAAGTAAAGCAGATGCTTAAACCTTCTTGAAAACTATTTTCAACAATACTATTTGCTTGTTAGTAACTTTATTTTCATGTTAAAGGATTGCTTTGTGCAATGGAATGCGGTCAACTGCACCGCCCACAAAACACTAATCAAATCGGGCGAATAAAAATTGCGTAAAGAAACGTACACGCTTATCGACCGTCGAGAACCAGCCATTCCAGTATTAACGAAACGCCGCTTTCACTATTAAAAAATCTTCCAATACTTTCAAATAAATCCGCACATCACAATTAGAGCCTAAACACACTAGTCGGTTTTCGCCGAGTCGGCCGTCGACTCCGCAGCCTCCTGCCATAACGCACACGTAGCGATAAACAAATCGATTCAGAAAATATAAAAATTGTAATGTTGTCACTAATTAGCATCAAAAATGGATATGTGACTCAAAGCAAGAATTATATTTTGTAGTCATTTTGAAGACACAAAGCAGTATTTAAAAAGTTTGACAACTAATGCACTCCCAAAATACCTATATTATATTTTTTAAATATGTTGTCATTTAATAAATAATTCAATGTATTATGGTCATTCATAAGAGGCACCTCTAAAAAGCATTATACGGATCACTCTGAAATTGGGCGCAAGCCTGTTGAGGGCCCAGAACAAGAGAAGGATAATAAATAAATAAATTCTCAAATGCACAAAACGCGTTATGGTCGCTTCTAAAATGACCACAACGCGTTGCGGTCATAAGTTAACGACCATAACACGTAAAAATATTTAATTTCGGTGTTTGGTCATTTAGCTTTAGCCATAACGCGTTGTATGCGTTAATTTTCGCTCATTGAGCGTTTTCGATATTTTATGTCAGTTAGATCACGATCATGAATAAACAATATGCCAAAGGTTAATTTTTTTACGATCTAATAGTCTGTGATAATTATTGCAAATGACTTTGAAACCGAAATACGTCTACATATAAAACGAAATTCTCCAGATAACCAATTCGTTTTTACAAGCTCCATGGTAAACACAATGACCTCAAATTTAACAAATTGGCGACAATCAGCCACAGTAATAATTGCGGCAAAAACGTTTGTGACTTCCACCTCGAGATGCGACTACAAAATATTAATGGTAAAACGGAGCAGAAAATCGTCGGTCCTACCAAATGCGACAGTCTTTCCAGGCGGTGCGGTTGACAAATCGGACACTTCTAAAAATTGGCTAAAATTGTACGAGAAATTTGGTTTCAAATCAGAATGGCTGGATTCGTTAAATTCTAATATTGACATTTCCTTACTTTTCAAAAGTGACGACGAGAATGAAATACCTAAAAGTATCTCTTTACGAATTGCTGCAATTCGAGAAACGTTCGAAGAGACTGGTATATTAATGTGCAAAAACATAAAGAATATTTCCGAGGAAACGTCGTCTTGGGCTGACTACATAACATCAGAAGAGATACAAAAGTGGCAAACCAAAGTTAACAAAAACCCGAATGAGTTTATGAAGCTATGCTTGCATTTCGAAATATTTCCAGATCTTTGGTCTCTGTATGACTGGAATAATTGGGCTACCCCTAGTGTGGTGCGAGCGAAATTTAATGTGATGTTCTTTATAGCAATCTTTCAAAGCAAACCACCGGCATTTGCTGATAATGGTGAAATATCAGACGTGCAAGTAAGAAATGTATGACGTACTGAAAAGGTGTTGAATGATTTTTAGTGGAACTCTCCCTCACAATATTTGGATATATGGAAGGCGGAAAAGCTCTCAGTGACTTTACCACAATTTTACGAAATTTCGCGATTAAATACCTTTACAAATATTAACGATATCCAAAAGTTTTGCAAGGAATGCAGTAAGAGAGGTTTGGAAAGGTATATGCCATGCATTATAAGAACTAACACCTCTGGCACATTCTTTCTACTACCAGGTAATTATTTTCAATCTTGAAATATTTGAATTTTAATGATGATTCTAGGTGACGATCTGTACTCAAAGTACCTAGATCTGTCTAAAGAGGATGTTGACTATTTAGAAGAAATGCCTGATAGTGATGTGCAGCACAGAGTTCAAACGTTACCTACTGGTGAAAGTAGAGTAATAATAAAAAACTTTTCACCTCCATATCATGTTGCTCCAATAAGTAGCAAATTGTAAATACATATTGAACAATAACAATATATAATTAATAGTATTTATATTTTTTAGAATGTCAATAAACACACAGCCACTTAATTTTCAGCTATATATATTGACCTTTTTACCATTATCACTATCATTATCAAGGTGAATGATGAGGTACGTTAATTTAGTGGCATTCACCACCAGCCGCACAATCTACGATTGATATCTGTAAGAATGTAACTTGCGTCCGAAAAGGAACAAACGCAAACGCGTACGTTCTTATCGCAACAATTTGCTATCTAAAATATATATGGGTTACTATGTAGTCCCATGAAGCGGTGGCTCTACTCCAGCCTAGGCGACCACAATTAAAGATTAGAAGTACAAATGTATTCATGTTAAAGTCCATTATTGCACAAGTAATAGCAGAAAGGTTAATTAGGGGACCCCTTTTTCGTATTGCTAAGATGCAAGAACTGCGATCCGCTTAAGACGGGCAAGCAGCAGATAGGTACAGCGAAGAATCGGCCTGTATGAGGTAGGTACTTACTCCACGGATACAGTTAAACGACTCATAGCCAATGCAACAGTATAAAGGCATAATCGCAGTATGTATATAACAATCAAACATATTAAACAGTACATTATAAACAAAAGCTTAGAATTACGCTCCGTTTCTATATCAGTATTTTATGCAAAATGTAAATCATAATAAATTGTGGTACGAAATTCAAAGGCTAATAGTTAGTGTACAAGAAAGAATAAAATAATTACTACCTCTCTTTTCAAAGAAAATAAACACTAGACCCGCCATTACTCTAACGCTAATCCATCTGGGATTCAAATATTTGTTTTCCCTTCCCGCATCTGCGCAGAACGATCGAAGTCGAACATTTTATGGTTGTTGTATACACAGTGTTTCGTATGCCTTTCTTTCAGTTGTTGAGGTATGTTGCCATAGATCGAGGTAGGTTTTACCACAGTTACTTGAAGAGAACCCAACTCTGAGACGTTATAACACAAGATTTGGGTGGCGGAAAACTAAAAGTACAATACAATTTTTTATATGTTTCCACAAAACAATAATGATAGGTAGATAGTACCTACGTGAGATCAGTGTCCGAAGTTAACTTAAGTGAATCAATTATAACCGTCTATTTAACAATAAAGTCAAACGTTATCTAAGTATAAATATTTGGGAAAAACAATGCGTTGACTTCAAAGCGTGTATTTTCTTATTTAGAAACACACGTAAGATAAAACGTAAAACTTTATGTCGAATTAAACGATAGTTATTGGTTATATGTAAAAAATAGGGTAAACGTTATACGTTTGTCAAAAGGTTCCACAACACGTAAATTTTAGGCGAAATAGTTCACTTTCACGTTAAATTTACCACTGACATCTTAAAAAAACGTAAAATTAACGAACGTGCGTTTACCTACTGGTAGTGGTGGACCAGTGCTGAATATGCCAAGCCCTGAGGAAATAGCCTCCCTAAGGGCGACACCAAACCAGAGCTAGGTAGTATTCGATTTTGTAAGTACTTTTTAGTATTCAAATCCTTTAAAGTATTCAAATATTTGTAATTAAATACGTTTATGGAAGCAGTATTTGTATTTGTAACTCAAATACTTTCACAAATATTTAGTATTCGAATACTTCGCAAGATATTTGAATACTTTGAGAAGTATTCGAATACTTCGCATAGTATTTAAATACTTAACCTTCCTTTTTTAGCAAAATCGACTACCTACTCCAAAATTTCACGGGAAAACACTTTTGATCTAGTAGCCCAATCTTGGAACTGTTTGAAATGATGGATTCTACAGGCCACATTCTATAAGAAAATTTGTTTTCCGGGTCGATCTGAGACAATTTTTTTTTCGGGNGTAGTATAACAGGTATAATATACAATATAATTACAAAGTTAAAAATTTTTAAAGATAAAATATTCATAACAAATAATAAATTTCTTCCATGGGGATCGCAGTTGGAAGCGTCCCCATTACACTTGCTGCATTACCACGTTGTATAGCAATACTTATTCTTTGTCGTAAGTAACTGGTAGCTCGGGGTCTCCAGTAATATTGGCAATACGTTTTCCTAGACACTCCACAAAATTACGAGCCTCTTTGCACCAAGGTCCCAAAGTCTCTTCTGCGAAAGGTGTAAAAATATGGTTCTATAATTGAACCATATTTCCTTATTTATACCTGCTGCAGGTTCAGCTACTGCACCACTCGTTTTACTTGATAAATTAACATGGGATAGTGCTAGAGTGTCAGTGCAGGTGGCATCCCAAACTAGCATTTGTCCTTTTGTCCAGGGCACAAGGGTCATTCCATCAGGACGTTTATTGTCGTCACTTCTTAGGCCTACAGGTTCCAACACAGCAGGGTATTTTGCCGATGCAACTGAACGATGTTTTATTTCATTGCGTAGATGAGTGTCGAGAATGTCGACCTGCGCTCATTGAGCAAGATAGTCCGTGTATTCCACTGCTGTCTACTTGCGTACCACAACTGCAAGTATGAGGAACGCAAATGTTTGTTTCAAGGCGTAAGCTGATGCAAATACGAAACGTATTGTTGTCCAATAACAATCCAATGGTTTTAGAGGGAAGTGTATTTAACCATGCGTTACATTCTGGAACCACCGAAGCTTTATATCTCACGATATCGAGTTTACTTGTCAGTGTCATAGACCTTACTACACGTTCAACGTTGATCAAGTCCAAATTTCTTTGAACGGAAGGTATAGATTGTATTTTTAGTTCTTCTTTATTAAAACTATTGGAACTTTGCTGTAATGTTTTCCAGAAGTTCAGCGCTTCATCGTAAAAAGGAATATCAACCTTAACTGTTATAGATCTATGTAACATGTCACAAATAAGGTCGTAAACGCTATTTACTGAAGCCAAAAAAGCTGGTATTGCTAAATCACTTGCTTTCCTCACTCCTAATCCACCGACATTGACAGGTAGGGATGCTAAAATCCATTTTTGCTCTGATAAAGTTGTGTTTAGTAAAGTTTCTAGAGTTTATCTGATTTCCGTATCAAAAGAGTGCAGGATTTCCTCAAAATTCCACGTCGGGGTAGTGCGTAGAAGATATGTTAATCTTGGTATAGCAAAGCAGTGTCTCAGTAGATAGAAAGCAATATAATAGCTATTCAAGCTAGGTAACCGGGCAAACAAAATCTTCATTTCCTCTAGTTTAGTGTTTAAACAGCACATTGCTGCTTTCGATGTCAATGGGGCTCCTAATAGTGTAAGATTGTCTTTCGTGATACTTCGGATTCCTGGAGATAATAATTGAAACCTCTTTAAAACTTCTTCGTCGGTATCAGACATAAAATGTAATTCACATTTTGAAGGATTGATTTCAAGTCCTATCTTTCTAGATTCATGAATTATCTGGGCAAAGTCAGAAAGAACTGATGCTGAATCTCCGGCTAAGGTCCCATCATCAAGATACCAAACATTAAGTTCTGAAATTAGTGAGTTTATAATGGGATGAATCGATAATGAAAAAGCCATGGGTCCTATTGGATCACCCTGTTGACAGCCAACTTGACTGTTAATTACTTCAGGCCCAAAAAATAGTTTTGATGGAGTAGCGTAGCACTGCCAGAGGTAATGATATAGCTCCGAAGTCTTAGCTTGTATAGCAGCTAACATTGTGTCGCGTTCTACCGAATTAAATGCGTTCTTAAAATCAATTTTCAAAAGCACTTTGTTTGTATGTTGATTTGATTTTAGAAACGTTCTTACAGTGTGAACGGCAGCTTCGCAACCTCCTTTTGTGCCAAACTCCAACTGTGTAGGCCGAAAGTATTCTCCAATTCTTTGCTGAACTGCTTTACATGCGAGCTTGGCTGACAGACGACGAAGTGTATTACCTACAGCTATTGGACGAATTCCTCCACCTTTCTTATTTAACGCGCACAAAGAGGCACCGTGGAGAATTGGCAGAATATATTCATTGACATCTCCTCGTAATATTAAATTGCATAGCTCTGTTATAGTACACAATAATTTCCTTCCGGATTCGCCATTTCCGTAAGATATCAAATCCTTTAAAACCTGTGGTGCTAAACCATCAATTCCTGATGCTGATCCATTTGGAAATGATCTAATAGCTTTAGAAACGTCTTCTTCGGACACTATCAGGCACGTTTCAGCTGAGGAAGGTGGCATAGGAAAAGTAAGATTTCGTGATGGAGCTGGATGTTTATCTTGAAGTTGTTGAATGGTGGCTGCATCGTGTTTAGCAAGTGAATCGGTTGATGAAAGTAGTTTCCCAGCCCCTTTTACATCACCATCTGCAACTTTGGCTTCCACGCGTTTAACGATATTAGACTTATTTGGTATAATTGTTGCTGTTACAGTACTTTCATTGAAAGACGTGACATTTTTTTTAACTAATGAGGTCAGAGACTTCAACTTTGTTGTACGTTTTGGGACCTGAAGAGCGATGTAGGAGAATATTTGAGAACAATTTAGAAATGCTTAGGGAAAGTTTCCATTGTCACAAAATCAAATATTTTTTTTTTTTTTTATATATATTTTTATTAGCAATCAGAATTGACATTCTATGGGCTAATATGATAACATGGGACCTTAAAGCTAGACAGTCCTGGATGGCGGGATGGGAACTCTTCCAGCGAGGAGTTCACCTACTTCTTATTTGAGATCAATTGGCCAACGTCGTTGTAGTCTTCCTGGAGTCGTGTTGTAGTAAAAGTGGTTGTGTTAGTGGGTTGGCATGTGCTTCTAGCCGGGTATGATGACTTGCACTACGCTCTTGTATGATAGTCGAAACGAAAGGGATAAAGAGATCGTCGTGTAACATTTTGTTGGTTACGTACCAAGGTGCGTCAGTAATAGCTCGAAGAATTTTGGACTGAGAGCGTTGAATAATTGCAGTATTTGATTTGCTGGCACATCCCCATAACTCTATACCATAAGTCCAAATAGGTCTTATTATTGTCTTGTAAACCAAGATTTTGTTTTCTAGGGACAATCTGGATTTTCTTCCTATCAACCAGTTTAGATCATTTAGTCGTAGGTTGATTTGTTTTGTCTTTTTTAAGATGTGTATCTTCCAGGTAAGTTTTTCGTCGAGGTGTAGACCTAGGTAACGTACTGATGGAGATACAGGTATAATTGAATTGTTGACAGTAACTGGTGGACAGCGGATCAAATATAAAAATCCGATACAACTGAATACGGAACGATCCTGGAGTGAAACTTGTTGACTCGATAGCCTACACTTAAGAACAATAGGGACCTTTCTTATACCCTTAAGACCATGTGTACCAATTTTCAAAGCGATCGCACGTTTCTAAACAAGTTATCATACACACGGACAAACGGATGGTCGGAAATGGATCTGTTCCAAAATCGCTAGGATTAATTTCAGAAAGGCGTACGTATCATGTGCACGACGTACGATTGCTTTGAAAACTGGTACACGTATTCTTAACGATATAACTGGTATAAGAAAGGTCCTTTTACTCCCCTTATACTTTTTATAGTATTCGAATACATTCTAAAGTATTTGAATACTTATTTTTTAAAGTATTTGAATACTTTTCAATGTATCTGTATCTAGTATTCGCTTGTGCTGGACGTAAAAGTATTTAGTAATCAAATACCTTTGATTTGTGTAAAGTATTTACTATTCAAATACTTTTTGAAAGTATTCTGCCCAGCTCTGCACCAAACATCCCCAAATCGGACCGGAACCCTACTGTAGAGCGCCAACAAGTCTTTAATCTAGCTACAGGAGTGATAAGAAGCCAGCACGAAAAAGAGTGGATATGGGAATTTGTTTATGGACTGAGACAATCCAAGAAACTGATCAGTTTCCAGAAGACTTAAAACGAACTCGTTGCTAGCACTCAGCAGATGTGAACCCTGACTAGAGTCGCACGGCCCCTCAATGTCACTCAAGCCATCCCACACATGATGGACCTAAGGATGCCGGAAGGGGAAAAGAAGTCTAATGGTAACCATGTTAGAAGGTTGTTGGCGCTGTGAACTAAGGTCCCATAATACTTTTACTTGAGATACATCTCAACAAAATCAGGGTAACTGAGGATAACGGTGCTGGTGTAAATCTGTCTCTGGAAGGAGATCACAAGACCTGGGTGAGGCCGTAATAGCACTTCAGCAGATCAGGGTGTTGGAGAGGATCCCCAAATTTGTTAATAAACTGCCTCCCTCAGAGTAAGACACTGTGGCATGCATAATAGATCCAAGGCGTGATAAGCCCAAACCAAGGGTTGGAAAAAATTCATAAATTATTGACTATCGCGAACTAAATGAATTATTAATTTAATAAACGGCAAATATCGTTTTTGTCCCTGTATAACAGACATGGAATTCGGAACAGAACAATAATAAATGGCAGGTTATTCTAAAGGGGGCATTTTTGCGTAGAAAAGATATCATTTTCAGGAGATGATTTATTGGGTTTAACTGGACCTGCACAGACAAATTCTAGTGTAGCGGTAATTTTTTGTGAGTTGCGGTAAACTTTGCGACTACAGAGTTCTCTAACCTCAGTCACTTAATTTATATACAGATTATTGCGGAAAGTAGTGGGGATATTACAAACTGGTTCATATATAGGAGCCCATTTAATGATGTTGTGCACCCCTAGAGCGTCAAGTGTAGGGCAACTTTGGCACATTTTTATTGGACTCGTTAACCTTATGAGTTTCAAATACGTTGCTGTTTAATATTGAATTATTTAGCAGTATAAAAGACGCAAGCAAAAAGAACAAATTTATTAAACAAAAAACTGAACGAAAAACACGTATACATACACAAAATACTATATATACTGCACAAAAATGTAGTGGTCCCTTTGGAATATTTCAAAGTATTTTTAAATACATAAAAAAATTAAATTCATAGATAAAGCATTCTTTAAGCGTTTATAGCTGCCTAACAATTATAACATTAAAAACCTAGGCTGGGAAGTTTTAAACTACAATTTAAAACGCAGTTTCAATTACACAAAGATATCGGAAGCAATAAGAGATGCGAGGAACAAACCTTTAAATCTCCTACCATATCAAATAACGCATACGGAAAAAAAAACCAGACACATTGTAATAAAACATTTTAAAAACACTCGAATTTTTGTGCAAGACATTCTCTGAATAAAGTACTTTAAAACAATGAAGAAATATGAGAAAACAATGGAACTTAGTGTGATATCAGAACAAATTTAAATCCCTCCTCTCCCGGTGCATGCACCTCAAACTAAAAGGAACGATTTTAAAATATCAAAGTACTATGCTAAGATTACTAAAAGCCTATAAAGGTAATTATATAAAAATATCCTAAACATTTAAAAACTAAGCAAAGTCCCGTACTCGGCTGTAGGAATGAGATCGGAACCTTGAAGTTATTTAAATATTCATTAAACTTTTAAGCTAATTCGTATAAACAGTTATTTTAAAATCACATTAGGAAGGTCCATACTGGCAACTTCTTATATTGCTGAACAAAAGTATGAACAGTATTCAGTCCCTTTGGAATATAACCTCGAAGTCGAAACCGTCGGAGTCGTCCGAGTCAGAGAAAAACGCCGAAATATCATCAAACTCCTCTGTTAGGGAATATAACCAATGGGGATCAAAATCTTGCAAGTCCCATAGAATCATTTGCTAAAATTGATGATGATGATGAATTACTTTAATAAAATCCAGGATGTAAATACACTACAGATTGCTCAACTTAATAAACAACATTTACGAGGAGGTTATCTGCAGTATATTTACATATATAATAATACTCACATCTAACTCGATTCCTATAACTCTATCTTCGCGCGCCTGTCGAGGACGACGCTTTGGAGGACCGACATCAGTCTTAGTTCCATCTGGTAAAGCGTGTAGGTAGAAGCATTTGTTTCCAAAAGGACACTCCCCTGCGCCCTGTTTGAAATACTTGCATGGCTTATATGCCAAAACTTGTTTGTAACACTTAATTAATTTGTCTTTTTCCTCCTTAGTATCAACCCAGTAGTTGCTGGGACATACAAACTCCGACGGTACACGACAAGATGGGCATGATCTAGAAAATTTTTTTTAATGGAAAATATACTCGGAAAGTTTGAAATCGACGTACTTCACCACTTTGTTTTCAAAATTTCTCGCCTGTCTCCATTGGCGAATGCAGCTTAAGCAAAAGACATGGTTGCACCGGTTTAGGATTCCGAACCGGCGATCAGAAGTTTCCTTCTCGACTACTATGTCGAAACAAATTCCGCAGATTTTGTCTTTCGATTGAGCCGTCTGCGCAGTCGTGTTCTCGCGCCAGCCTCGGGTGTGATGGCAGACCTTGGGAAAGAGAAATTAATACTCGCACCCATCAAGTTTCGGTTACAAATGCGACGGTGCTTTACCTGACGATGCCTCTCTCTTTGGTCTTCGTCAGTAGGGTGAAGTACCCTTCTGTTACATACTTCACACAAATCTCCATCGTGCGTATACGGACAATGCGGCTGCAATTTGCATATCCCATTTTCGATTAAGTTAAAACAAAGATTGTTGTCAAACTCAACCCCGTTAAGAGAGAGAGCGGGTGTATTAACTTTATTTTTGGGACGAAATTCAGGCGCATTTATCCAGGACTCCTGAAAGTGTACAAATTATTGACAATTTTGCGCAAAAAAATTCGTTACGCTTTTTTTGCTCAATTCCAAGTAAAAAAGAAATAAAAAAAGAAATTTATAAAGTTGACAAAAGCACGTTTTCATAAAAGTAAAGAAGTTAGGTCGTTTCGTGTAAGGAGTATAAATCAACAACATACTCTGTGGCTTTTACAATGGGAAAAATTTACCTTCGTCAAAAAAGCTGGCAATTATATTTATAAGTGGAAGACAATATGAATCAAAAACAATACATAAAAAGCAATAATAAAGGTTTTGCTCTTAGATAGGTATGATACAATAAACTAAACAAATATAGAAAACGAGCTCCTGGGTATGGCTATTGCATGTGCAAAACCAAATTTTAAACCTGATGTTAGTTTTGCTTTTAGTTGAAGTGTATGGGTATGAAATTTCATTTAATTGCTTCCATAAATAAGAAAGTTGGCATTGCAGATCACGCACAAAACAAAATTTGGAAACTGGCGCCACATTTGCTTTCATTCCAAGTGGCTATGTATCAAATTTCATTTGAATGCCTCCATAAATAAGAAAGTTGGCACTGCGCATGCGCAAAACCAAATTTCATTTAAATCCCTCCATAAATAAGAAAGTTGGCACTGCGCATGTGCAAAACCAAATTTTGAAACTACCGTTAAATTTGCTTTTATTCCAAGTGACTATGTATCAAATTTCATTTGAATGCCTCCATAAATAAGAAAGTTGGCACTGCGCATGCGCAAAATCAAATTTCATTTAAATTCCTCCATAAATAAGAAAGTTGGCACTGCGCATGCGCAAAACCAAATTTTGAAACTACCGTTAAATTTGCTTTTATTCCAAGTGACTATGTATCAAATTTCATTTGAATGTCTCCATAAATAAGAAAGTTGGCACTGCGCATGCGCAAAACCAAATTTTGAAACTACCGTTCAATTTGCTTTTATTCCAAGTGGCTATGTATCAAATTTCATTTGAATGCCTCCATAAATAAGAAAGTTGGCACTGCGCATGCGCAAAACCAAATTTTGAAACTACCGTTAAATTTGCTTTTATTCCAAGTGACTATGTATCAAATTTCATTTGAATGTCTCCATAAATAAGAAAGTTGGCACTGCGCATGCGCAAAACCAAATTTTGAAACTGGCGTTCAATTTGCTTTTATTCCAAGTGGCTATGTATCAAATTTCATTTAAATACCTTCATAAATAAAAAAGTTTGCAATTCGGTTTATAAATGGTCAAGACGCGAAAAGGGCACTATGAATGTTGATCGATTAGACTCAATTTTGGTTAAAGCTATGCGTACGCATATTGAATTTCATGCAATTCGGTTCATCACTCACAGAGATGTCAAAAGTGCCTACTTTATTTTTTGGTCTACATTACCAATTCACGAACTCCGATCTACAAATTTGATAAAGAATCCATCAACTAAATTTTATCGTAATCGGTCCATTCGTTATCTCCTATATGCTCGCCCACATTCTAGAATCGACAGGGATTTGGGTACATGCGCGAGATTGTCGCGAAACGCGTAATTCCGTATAGGGAGAGGGGATAGGAAACAATTTGATACAGATCGGGTGCTAAATAAGGGTGATATTAAAGGATGCGCGGCCATTTCGACCTAACCTAACCGAACCGCCGTCTCAACAGCACATCTCGACCTAACCTAACCGCGGTCTCGAACTAACCTGAGCGCGGCCTCGATCTAATCTAACATCGGTCTCGACCTGACCTAACCGCAGACACTGTCGGATTTTCGGAGGTAGAGCTTCAAATACCAAAAAGGAAAGAGGCGTGCCGAAAGTCGTATTGCACATGCGCAATAGTCAACGTAGGTATTTGTAGAGCATTTGATAGAAATTTTTAAGAGTTACTCTACTAACAAACAAACAAAATGAAAAAATCGTATTGCGCCCAATATAGATTGCACCCCAAAACTAAAAACACAAACGTAAAATACACACTATAACGGAGTCTTAAAATGCAAAGCGTTTTTACCAACCTATACGATGAAAATGAATAAAAAAGAGAGTATCAATATATTGGTTCTTTTTTGAGCCGAATCCGAAGTTAGTTGCGAGCCCATTTTAAATCCTTGGAAGAATCGTGGTTTAACACATGCCTTTTAAAAATGAATTTATTTAAAATCCTGTGATAACAAATGGTTTTCAAGTTAGTTGCGTAATCACACTGGGTACACTTAAAATTCTTAAAAGGATTGTGTCAACAAATGACTTTTAAATGCGACAATTTTTATTTACATCAAAAACTTCGAGGGCATATGTCCAACCCTTCCACAAAGTTTCATCACAATCGGATGAACGACAGACATACGAGAATAGAAGCCTGCGAGTACCCAAATTTGTGAATACCAATTTTCGTCGAGATCGGAAGGTAAACATTGGAGATATAGCAATTGGAAATGTGACGTGTTACTTCCAATTTTAGTTTATAAGAAGAATCCTACCCTAAAATTTGAGGAAATAACAAATTTGGGTCTGAGCATGCGCAATACTTGTTTTACGTGTTTTTAGACAGATCGGATTGCGCGTGCGCAAAACAAATTATTAGATTTGGTATTGGTTTTACCTTTATTTGAGGTGCCTACATATAAAGTTTCATTTTATTATCTTACGAAATCAAAAAATTGGATTGCGCCTGCGCAAAACACATTTTTTATCCTGTATTAGTTTTACCTATATTCAAAATACATACAAAATTTCATTTAATTTTAACAAATAAATAAAATCGAATTGCGCATGCTCAAAACAAATTTTTTGATCCGGAATCAGTTTTACCTTTACTTGAGATCTACATCTAAGTCCTCCACACAAAATTTCATTTCAGTATTTTAACAAATAAAAAAGACTGACGGACACACAGACAGATAGAGTGACCGACAGCAACACAATACAATCTCGAGGAACGTTAATAAACGGCAAAAATGTAAAATTATGGTATATAAAAAAAATTGATTTTTTTACCATAACTTTTTTCGTAAGTGGCACAGAAAATGCGTTCCTCGGTGCAAGCCTCGACACCATAACAAACCAAATAGCGGAAAAAGTATAACAAAAGCTCTTAGAATTAGTAGCCGCATGCGCAGATTGCTGAAAGTCAATTTTCCTAGTTAGATATTTTTTGAAATTATAACTACAGATGCTTCCAACCAAGTTAAACAAATCGCAAATAATAAAAATCAAATGTGCGCATGCGCAAGGCGAACATATGTATGTATGGAGATATTTCTTAGAAATTTTTACCATAGATTTTCAATAGCGAAGATACTCGGCTCGCATTCGAAAACACGATTTTTAGTCCAGTTCATAATGCAGTAACACTGATTTTTGAACTCGTAGAGATCGATTGGCCCTGTCTCTTTTTGTTTTCGAGTTGCGAAGAACAGATGAACTGACAAAACCATTTCGAAAAATTTCATAGTCATTTACCACATCAGTAATATTCATTCAAATTGTGTATTAAATTAAGACAGAATTTTCAGTTAGATGATTGTTTATTTCGTTAAATTGTAACCTATAACGTTTGCATCATAAATTAAGCGGACCACGAATTTATTGATTTAAAGGTATAATTCAGGTAACGTATCGATTTCGATCTTGAGAGGATATTTAAAATTGGCGCTTTATCTGAGCACAATGTTGTTTTCATAAATCTACCCAAATTAAGTTTTGGATATACCGGGATATACCAATACCGCATTATTTATTTACCACATAACACACATTTATATAGGCAAAGTAAAAAAGCAATGCCCAGTTCGGCAAACTTATGGATAAAGTAATTGCAGAGATGGTGTTTGGTTCACGTGCCAAAAGCTGTCACTGTCTAGCTTGTCTGATGGATCTCAATACCTACCTATGCTAAAATGTTCAGAACTTTCACCCTTAAACAAAGGCGGCGACGCATAGATATATCTCGCATAGTATTATTACAACACGCAACCTTTAGACCCGAGAATGAATATTTAATGTTCCCATTGTAAAAACTTCCCGAATTTTCCAACATAATAAAATAAACTCAATAAAATATCACTGAAAGCGTGCTTTTGCTTTTCGGAAAGACACATTGTGAGCATGTTAGTTGTGAAGTTAAAGTGAAATACGAATTTCCAAAAAAAAAACCCAATATTCTTTAGCACAAATTTTGATTGTCCCCGCAGTTGTAATAAAAAACGCTTGTGGCTCATTGGAAACTTAAAAGTGTTGTCGGGCGTAGAATTCCTGGCTCCAAATTGATTCTAAAGTTAAAATGTATACAGAACAGGTCTCCATTTGAGAAAAGGTGAACAGCAATAAGAAAAAAAGCACTAAACAGAAAATGCATGTACAGCACAAAATTCAAAAGGTGTTAAATGCTATGAAGAGAATCAAAAGCGAATGAAATGAATTTGAAAACAAAATAAACATATAGCTGAAGACTAAGATGCCTATGAGCAATCAAATAACAGCAAGCGTCTGGGGTGGAAAGTTGAGATTGCCAGAGAAAGATCTAGAAGTCAAAGCCTATACTTACATTGGAGCACTTTGGTCTACGGAGTGCGATAGATGGTTCAGTCGATTTTGAGGTGGAAGGCAGGCTGACGTAAGGTTGACTAGTGCCCTGCGAAGATGTGCCCTGAGTGGTTTCTCTGCGCAATGTAACACTGTTAGTGGTTGCGTTGGGCGGGTGATAACGTGGAAGATGATAGTTATTCACTGAGGTAGATGGGACCACTCGACTTGGTGAAAGGCTTAATGATCCTCTTGGTAGCGAGTAAGACATCCTGAAAAAGAATATCGACAATTAAGTTTTAAGATGGACACGTTTCGACGTTTGATTAAATAAAAACGTTTTTAACTGGCTATTTGTATTCATCAATCATCAACAAAATTTGATCGGTTATTGTGCTCCATTTCAGATACTTCACGCTTGCTGGTACATAGCGGGGCATTCGAGTGCACATTATGTCAAAATGAGATTGTTTTAAAAAGAAAATAAAATAATAAAAAAAGATTTCGCTTACTTTTAAAAGAGCAGTTCACTTTTCAACCTTCGCCATCTGAAAGACTGGCCAAACACTTCATATCACGTCCTTAAAGTATATCAAAATAATTTCCACATTTATTTTGAGTAATCTTGCACAATTATTTGTTGGCTGTGATATCAGTGCAACCAGTTTTTGCGCGTTCCACGCCACACAAGCAACATAAAATTGCAAATTTTGACAAAATGAAAAAAACGGGCGTAGCCACACAATTTTTGTTTAACGCGCTCGTTTTTATAATTACAGTGGCTCAATCTAACAGATTTATCAAGTAAAAATATTAAAAATTTGCACATTTTGGAAACTTTTGTGGACGTCTTGTGAGCTAGAAAACAAAAGCAAACGGTAAAGTCGTTCCATTCGCGAGAATGTTTTTACAGTGAACAATTTTATTTAAAAAATGTGTGATTAATGTTTATCCAGTTTTTAAAATGACCCCTGGTTTTACATACATTAGAAGTGTCTGAAGTGTGATTTTTTGGAAGTATGGATGAGCCCGCGCAGTTACGGAGATTATTTGAATCCCTTACAGATTAAAATGTATAACAATTGTAACTTCAGCTTTGAGATCTCAATCCCTCAGACGCACAGGTAAAGCGCTCTTCACTTTTGAGACTATTTATTAAATTCAAACCGAAAAACATGTAAATTTGATTCTTTTTATTTAAAACAAGTATACATTGTGCACAACTCTTGTGCAGATACAGAGCATTTTTTTTTAACCGAAATAGCTTTTGTTTTGACATCACCAATGGATATATTTCTTGCAGACGTCTCAATCGCCCTTTGTGAGCACCCTCTTCCGACAATCCGTTCTTGAGGTATAAGGGAATATACCCGATCACGATAAGAGGTCGAGGAGGAGGGCTATGGTTGGTAGAAATTAATTCCTTTCGTCGAGACCTTTCATTAGAGTACCATGAAAGATAAAACTAGTTCCGCCCGCTTTCCCAGAGCCACCACAGCGCAATATCCTAACTGGCCTGAGGTAACCCCCTTCGTTCCCACATGGAGTGACAGGGCGGTTGTCAGTCAGATGGTGGATGTTGCGAGGGTGACCTGAGCGGTGAAAGTGTTCTCAGCATATAAATCAACACGATTGGAATGGCATAACACCAGCCCTCCTTAAATGAAGACTGGATGCTATTATCATCTACCTAGTGATATGCGAGGTGATATGTAAAAAAAAATTGGGCGGTAGAGGGGATCAAAACAAGCACTTTTTCCAAATAAACCGAAGGTCCAACGTGTTTCTCTTGGGAGCCACCCTAAAAAAAGGGTAAAATTTGCATTTCGTCTTTAATTTTTTCTTGAGTAACCATAAGAGTTAGGAAGACTGGTGGCACGTCTTTGAATAGGTTTCGGAGTACCTATGCCCTTTCCGATTTTGAAAAGGGAGTGGGAAAAAATTCTCATTTCGACGAAATGAACATGAAAATCACAAATATGAAATTAGTTTTTGAACATTCGAAAATAACATTCTACTACAATTCTTCGCCAGACAGCAAAAATACAGAAAATTCCAAGAAATTTGTTATACACACCTCGATACACACTTGATAAGTTAAGTAACAAAATTGTCGAACAGTTTTTTAAAATGACTTTTCAAACAAAAGATATACTTACTCATTTGAAAATTGGGCCTTCAGATCAGGTGTCCCCCCGCCTTCTAGTGAGTCATCTAATTTTGCATGTGTTAGTTGAAAATGTCACAAATAAATAATAATAAATAAATAAATTCGATTATGTCTTTATCCCCAAACCTGGTAAAGGTGATTACTCTACACCTAAAGCATACCATCCAATCAGTGTGATGTCTTTTCTTCGTAAGACACTTGAAAGACACTTTCAGTTTATAAGAATTTCATTTCAATGCTTTCCCAAATAAGAAAGTTGGCACTGCGCATGCCCAAAACCAAATTCTGAAACTGGCGTTAGATTTTCCTTTGTTCCAAGCGCCTATGTATCAAATTTCATTTAAATGCTTTCATAAATAAAAAAGTTGACACTGCGCATGCGCAAAACCAAATTTTGAAACTGGCGTTAGATTTTGCTTTATTCCAAGTGCCTATGTATCAAATTTCACTTAAATGCTGCCATAAATAACAAAGTTGGCACTGCGCATGCGCAAAACCAAATTTTGAAACTGGTGTTTGATTTTCCTTTATTCCAAGTGCCTATGTATCAAATTTCGTTTAAATTCTTCCATAAATAAAAAAGTTGACACTGCGCATGCGCAAAACCAAATTTTGAAACTGGCGTTAGATTTTGCTTTATTCCAAGTGCCTATGTATCAAATTTCACTTAAATGCTTCCATAAATAAAAAAGTTGGCACTGCGCATGCGCAAAACCAGATTTTGAAACTGGCGTTTGATTTTCATTTTTTCCAAGTGCCTACTATATGTATCAAATTTTATTTAAATACTTTTACAAATAAAAAAGTTTGCAATTCGGTTTGTAAATGGTCGAGATGCGAAAAGAGCACTGTGAATTTTGAATCGATTCGACTCAACTTTTGGCATTGCGTATTATATGCCTGAAGCTATGCCCATATTGAATTTCATGCAATTCAGTTCATAACTAACGGAGATGTCAAAGCGATCTGACATTTCTCAACAAAGTTATCGTTCACACGGACAGACAGACATTAGAACAGACGGACAGACCAACAGACAGACAGCAATACAAAATTATAAAAGATCTCTAGAATCATTAATAAAAGGTAAAATATAAATAAAAAAATTCGGGCACGATATATTGTACACTGTACAGGGTGTCCCATTTCGATATCTGTATAGGAAAAACTTTTATCCGTAGGGATATTGGGAAGCGGGTTTCATTTAGGCATCGAACGGTACTGCATTTTTGGCCGAGACTGATATCGGCCAATATTTCTATGCCGATAAAAAATCGGGGCATTGGCCATTTTTAAACAATTTAATATTACACACAAACAAAGCCGTAGAGGGCATGCAATTAAAGCCCATCCCACAAGTAAAGCTTCGTGGAGACGGTTCAAAAACTAATAGCTGCTGGGCGTAACCCAAACGAGGCTAGAGTCATGGCTGCAAAGACAAAAACTCAACAAAAGCCTCAAAAAACCCGTCTCATCTCTTCAACTTTTCAAGCCAAGGAGGAAGGCGCTTCCATACCTCCAAAGAAAACCTCTCTCTATGGAGACAATTAACCCTTCATAACCTCAACTCTAAGATTGAGAAAAGCATGCTGGGTAAAGAATCAATCTTAGTCTGCTTCATGGACATTGAGACTGCCCTCATACGATTCCAGTGATGAAGCAGCAAGAAACAACGATATCAACCTGTGCACAAGATGAGTCATAAAAGGCATGTTAGAAACCAGGGTGATTAAAAACAGACTGGGATCAGACACAGTCCTTGTGATCGCGAGCAGGAGGTGTCCACAGGGGAGTGTAATGTCCCTAGTCAGGGACGGATTGGTAAATCTTCGACCCGATTTAGCGTATGCAGACGATCAGTAGTATGCCCTCGCTACAGTGCAGGAATGGTGCCTAGTTCGGAGGCCAAAGGTGCACCTGGACAGTGCCCTTTACAAAGCGTACAAGACTTACACCTACACTCCAAGGAGTCATGCTGGACAAGAGGGTAACTATGAAGCCTCACATCACCATGGTGGTCATCAACTTAATGAGCTGTCGAAGCCATATGGGGTAGAAATAGGGAAATCTGACTATACACCACTGTAATTAGGCTAATATTGTGGTGGTATGGTGGTCCAAAGCAGAAGTAGAAGCAATACAGACTCAACCGAGGGGGCATCCGGTAGAGGATATCTGGTGTACATGCACGAGGCTATCTGAGGTTATCCCGAAGATATCTAAGGATATCCGAGGATATCTAAGAAAAAATTAACCACGTGATTTCTGCAGGCGATTAAACGCGCATGATCAGACTCGCCGAGACTTGACGCGAAGGGTTTTTAATTCGTGCATTTTATGGTGTTGTCTTGTAGTTTATGTACAATTTAACATTTCTCTCAGTGATGTAGCGAGGTTTATAATAGTGCGCATCACATTTATTTTCGAATGTAAGTAGCTAACAAACATTTAATTAATCAGAAACAGTTTTTACTCGAGTTTTTATGATACAACTTTTTTTATATTTTTTGCACTTGTGCCATTTTGCAAAATTTTGCAGTTTTAAAAGTTATGTACAAGCTTATATGTACAGGGCTCACGTAGAAAGAATTCTGAATTTAATTTAGACGTCAAAAATAGCAAACTTATGTCTCGTCGCTGCCATGGAAACAATATTGTATTATATTCTCAACTTCATTCTATTTCGTGCTCCGCGTCCCATATTTAATAAGAATGACAGATGTCATTAGAATGCACAATCATTTGTTTCACTTTATCTACCCTTACGGTTAAAGCAATCACTTTATCTAACCCTTACGGTTAAAGATCGAGTTAGCCTACTTATTCAACCCTATTAAAATGTTAATTTAGTTACAATTTTTCATTGTATTGTATTTAACAATAATTAATGTAAATGCGAATTTGTTGCTGACTATAAACAATAAAAAATAGGTGAGATTGACATCGCTCGTGGACCGAGAGTATTTTCTCTTTTAATGTGCACAAATAATTTGTTGCTCAAGTTGCTATTACCTACAATTATTTATTGTATTGTATTTAACAATAATTAATGTAAATGCGAATTTGTTGCTGACTATAAACAATAATAAACAATAAAAAATAGGTGAGAATGGCATCGCTCGTAGACAAAGAAAATTTTCTCTTTTAATGTGCACAAATAATTTGTTGCTCAAGTTGTTATTACCTACAATTGTTTATTGTATTGTATTTAACAATAATTAATGTAAATGCAAATTTGTTCCTGACTATAAACAATAAAAAATAGGTGCAAATGGCAACACTCGTAGACCGAGTATTTTCTCTTTGAATGTGCACAAATTATTAAGGATCCTCAGATCCTTTATAGTTTTGTATTGTCGTCCGTTCGTCCGTCCGTCCGTCCGTGTGCGCTCTAACTCTTTTTAAAAGTGGCCGATTGTGTTGAAATTTCGTGTACGGGTACGTTGGACATTAAGGACGGACGCTATTGATTTTCAGGAAGCTGGTTCAACAGGAACAAAAGTTATAGGACTTCGAGTGAATCGGGAACAGAAAAAACTGCAAACTCAATATAATATAAATTAACATATTTCATTCCCTAGGTCATGTATCGAGTTCGGACTTTCGCTAGATTATTCCCTATGACTCTTAGAAGTGTAACAATTCAATATAACTCTTCTCCGTGGTCTAGGTCATAAGTTTTAGAGCAAAATGTACCCAAAATTATTCTTTACACATAAATTTGGAGTTGTAAAAGCTTTCAAACGCATTATCTTGATCCTGAAAGAGTTGATAACGTGCACGATTCATAACCGCATGTGTGTGATTCAAAAATGTTAAATTATTTTTCTGAGGCCACATGGATTTTGATCAAAATATGTCAAAATCGTTATTTATGCACCAAGATGGTTGTGAAAAAGACCAAGAGCATTATTTCAATGACCAAAACATGAATTTGATCTATTTTTGGCGACCACATGGATTTTGATCAAAACATGTCAAAATCGTTATTTATGCACCAAGATCGTTGGGAAAAAGACTAGGGGCATTATCTCAATGCCCAAGACATGAATTTGATGCATTTTTGGCGACCACGTGGATTTTGATCAAAACATGTCAAAATCGGTATTTTTGCACCAAGATCGTTGGGGAAAAAACCAAGAGCATTATCTCAATGCCCAAGACATGAATTTGATGCATTTTTGTTAACTATACAATGTATTTTGTAAGATTAAAATAAATTGTCGTTAAAAGTGATTGTAATACTGAGGATCCTTCGATATTTCGTTGTATCGGTTTATTTGTTGCTCAAGTCGTCATTACTTATATACTACAATGCAATGAATAATTTTAGTAACAACAAATGAAAAATGTGCCTTGTGATAAACAGGGACAATAAGGTGCAATTCTGGGAAAGTTATAAAATACAGTTCAAGGATTCGGAAAAGTTGGGTTGTAAAACTACGTTCAAAATTCTTGGGAATGGTAAAGTAGGATAAATGCTGATTGACAGAAAGGGATTAAGTATTTATTTTTTATTGTTTATAGTCAGTAACAAATTTAGTTTTGCATTAATTATTGTTAAATACAATGGAATGAACAATTCTAAGTAGTAACTACTTTAGAAATTTAGGTGATTCCGAGGGTGATTCAGTTTGAATTGTGCATTCCAGTCGGATGACGTGCGCATGGCGAATATTGTTGTAGCGCTGTCAGAGAGCAAACATTACTTATTTATTTAAGCAACAAAATTTTGAATACGGTAACAAATTAGCACATATGTAGCACTAATGTTTAGAATGTGTTGGATTTTTTTTACGGTTGGTGGGGGGGGGGGGCTAAGTTAATGGAGGTTCATAAATAAACCATACAGTATGCGTTAACAGTAATTTTGAAACCGGTATTGGTTTTAGTTTCATTCAAAGTGCCTACATATGATATTTCATTTAAATGGTTTCATAAATAAGAAAGTTGGCATTGCGCATGGGAATGTGCAAAACAACATTTTGAAAACATGTTCATTTTACTTATATTCGTAGTATTTACATACAAAGTTTTATTTATAAATATGTTCATAAATAAAAATGTTAGCCAATGCGTTAATCCAAATTCTTTATACTGCGCATGCGCAAAACCAAAAAATGCACGGAATCCGTGGATCAAGCCCTTTCAAATGAGCCCTATATCGCCCAAATCGGTTCAGTGGTGTAGGAGTACCTGTGACGGACGGACGGACGACAAAGTGCAGCCAATAGCGATTTTTCACTTTGAGGAAAATACGCTAACAACATAATCTGGCTTAGTGTGGTAAAATTCCCGTAATTTATTTATTTATTTTTTACAAAATAATACTATACTAGTCTATATTTATTACAAATCACCACAGACCGAATCGATCTTTTATTAATTATGGTTTTTTTCTATTTTTTTTAACAATAAAACGCATCGCGTTTAAAATTATTTATTTAACATAAAAACGAAAAACTTCAGTCCCATAACAAATACAGCATCTTCAAAACAAAATTAACAAGAAACAAATTAAAGAAAACTCATTCAAAAAGTTCACAAAAATGCAGAAAATTCCACGGTCCGGATTTGATACCTGGTAAAGAAGAACAACCTCGCGAGGAACTACTGCACGTGTGCTTGTTAACCTTCGCATAACCTTGTGATCTCGAATCGATCGAAAAGTTCTCGAGGAAATATTCGCTTAAATTTCCGGAGTGCAAATATTCTCGGAAATATTGCAAAATTCGCTTGCAAAGCTTCAGACCTTACCACCACTAGCCTGGGATTTATTTTTTTTACTGAAGTGAGCTACAAAGAAACGAGGTCGAGTTACACAACAGCGCCCTCTAGTCTTCACCACCAAAAAACAGGCGACTATTCGGGTTGGGTAAACATGCAAAAAAGTGATTCTCTCAAAAACATGTCACTAGATTTTACCTTTTTTTCATCGATAATTTTATTCTTTTTTTTTATAGAGCCATACTTACTTCACCTTTCCTTTCGGAATTTCAAACGCGACACTGCCAGATAGTCTGGTTAGGTGGTGTCCTCCATCCAGTCAAAAAATATGTGAAAGTCGCACTTTTTCATTCAATAGAGTCAAATACGAGGTCAAATAAGCATATTTTTACATTTACTCCTGTGTATTTCCCAAGGGCACAAATGGAGACATACAATATCTTACGGTTTCAGTGATTGTGGGTGCCTCAAAATTCAGATTATGTACAACTTTTTGGGCGGTTGCAGAATTTGTGGAAGATTTAGGTAAGACCGAGGGGGAAACCACTCTTTCAATTTGGTGTACATGAATTTTTCATTCCAGTTTCAATCTTTCAATATTATCATTATCAGTTTCATTACTTTCAATCTGTTCATTCTCTTTTCATTCTATTAATTCTAAGATTAATTCTTTTTCATTCTATTAATTCTCTTCATTTATTTTTCATTTCCTCATTTTTTCTTATTATGGTTATAAATATTTTTCATTAACGGTTTCATTATTTACAAAAACGAATAGTTCATTTTCAATTCTTACGATTTCATTCTTTCATTATTATTTCAATCTTTCATTATACACTTCAATCCTCTCATTATTTCCATTTTCAATCTGGTGTACAAATTTTAAGGAAGTGGTTTCCCCCGAGGGGGAAACCACTCTTTCAATTTGGTGTACATGAATTTTTCATTCCAGTTTCATTCCATTTTCAATCTTTCAATATTATCATTATCAGTTTCATTACTTTCAATCTGTTCATTCTCTTTTCATTCTATTAATTCTAAGATTAATTCTTTTTTTTCATTCTATTAATTCTCTTCATTTATTTTTCATTTCCTCATTTTTTCTTATTACGGTTATAAATATTTTTCATTAACGGTTTCATTATTTACAAAAACGAATAGATCATTTTCAATTCTTACGATTTCATTCTTTCATTATTATTTCAATCTTTCATTACACACTTCAATCCTCTCATTATTTCCATTTTCAATCTGGTGTACAAATTTTAAGGAAGTGGTTTCCCCCTCGGGTAAGACTTAATGGCCCTCACATTTGCAAAAATCTGAAGTCGGCAGCCACACATGAATATTTGTTTCTAAGCTACCATTGAGGTATTTGAGGGTCATTATGTCAATCAGTGACTACCTTCAAGTCTGTCAGATTTTGTCCAAACCCAAGCCACTTATGGCTGGCACCGAAAAAATTTAAGGTGAGCTTAGCTTAGAATCCATGGCAACCATCGTCCCAATATTTACCATGGATATTAAGCTACACTTAAACTAAGCCCGCTTAAACTTTTTCGGTGCATACGGCCATTAGTCACTCAATCTAACCTGTACGAACTGTTTAAGAGGTTTTGGAAGTGACCAACTACCTGTTTTTACCGGTAGTCACACATAATGGACATCAAAAATTTGTATTTTTGCTGCTGAGATGACTCACTTTCGGATTCACATTCCCACACAGAGAACTAGGGGTGGTAAAAAAATGCCATGACTAAGCTACGATTATTTGCAAAAATGTTTGTGTTAGTAACGTCAATGATAAGTTCAGTATCAAATACCGTTACTATTTCTCATAACATTCCGATATTATTGATCAGATAAACTCAGGAAATGACTATTCACGGCAAGGCATTAAAGTTCAATAAACAAAGAGGTTGGTTGATGCCTTTCAGCAATCGGACCGATAAATTAAAAATATCAATAGTTGATTGCAGTTGTTTATGAGATAAAAAACCCCACACGATAAACCACCTTATCTGTGAGAAAACTAAGTGACTAACACGATTATTTTTTTTTAATAAAAAATGAAAGGTACTTACGTGTTTGAACGGGGACAGGTACTGGAATTATTTACATGGGCGGTTTCCCGAGTGTCCGTCGAGGGTTGAGAATGGAAAATGTGAAGTGGTCTAGTTTCCTGAATGCCTCTTGTGTTATTTCGATTAATGAGATTATTAGGTTTGGGTGAGGTTCTCGGTTTTGGCTGGGTGCTCTCGTTCTCCTTGTTATCTTGTGGTCTATCACTCTCCGGATTTTCAAGCGACGAATGGCAGTATTCGCGTATATTATGATCAGATCTTCTATTTTGAATTCTTTCCAGACGATTTCTAGTCGCCGACACGACACGACTTCTGTTATTCGCTACCATTCTTGGGGCGGCACACTGCGACCTAGGAGCCCCTCGAGTTAGGACATCTTCGGGAATGTCATGAACTTGGAGATTGTTTGTGCCGCCCTGGCGACCACTGCTACAAGTAAGAAACATAATTTGACTGGGTTTTCTTCACAAAGGTTACATTCTCATTATGCATAATCTACATTCTTATGTACCTTGTAAGAAAATACCTAGGAGGATCATTCGCCATATTGAAGGTATAAGATCTCAACGGCCAGTTGAAGACGATAACCCAAGTATCCAAGAACAGGCAATCAACTATTGTTTCTTTACGTAAACAATTTTATGCAAATCTAACGGACCTTTAACGAACACTTGCGTACAATTGCACAGTTATATTGCATTTTATACTTTGCAATAACAAAAGAAAATTCACAAGAACTTAACCGTTGTTAAACTAACCAAAGCAACCAGTAACCACCAAATACTGAAAGCCAAAGCACTCGTACTGGCACGGGGTCTACACAAGAAAAATTCAAGAAGGGAGGATACCCAATCACGAGCCGAGAAATTTCACAACAAGTATGGCCGACATTCCCGCGCATTTGAAATTTCAAATATTAACTCCCCACGGCATCTCTCAAATCTCCAATTTAATCAAATATAATCGTATATTTATCGTTTTTTATGTGCACCTAATCTTGCATATTAATGCAAGGCGTGAGCGCTATATAGACGACAACGTTATAAATTCAAATTATTTCCAGTGGCGTAGCTCAACAAAGACCAGAGCCGTGCTTGCTTCAGCCACCTACTTTGAAAACGGGACTGTTTAGATTTGAAATTCGCCAATATGGTGGGCAATGACAGTGTAACAGTTGCAAATCCGTGAATGAGTTGTGATGAAACTAAGAAAAATGAATATGAACGTAAGATAAAAAGAAAATTTTTGAAAACAAAAAATTGACCTTGAAATTGTAAACATCACGCCTGAAGAAAAATACAACCCCATAATTCAATATAATGGTAAAAATAGTCACGGCAGGTTTTGAGGTAGTCGAGTAGTCCGTAAAAAGTTGAGGTGACATTCATATGCTCAAAATTTGATCGATACACTGATCGTTCACGAACCTTAAAACATGCACCGATGACGTCATCAGTGAAACGGTTTTTTGGCGATTTTGAGTTAAATATGGCCCTTTGCACACCATTGTCGAAAGAGCTGAAGGTAAGTTCGACTTATCCGGGACTTTCCCGTAGACTCCTTCAACCTCAGTTCATAACCGCTGGCCCGAAATTCTGAGGTGTGTTTATACGGTTCCGGTTATACATTCAGTTCATACCAATGCCAAGAAAATTTGAAGGCGAGATTGGTATAAATCAACCGCTCGCCCGAATTTCAGAGCCGGTATACAAAATGCGAAGTGTATTTTTTTGAACACCAATGCCGAACTCGAGGAGAGTTTCGATATAGCTCGGGTTCGCGTCGACTCGCCCCTCTACGTCCACGGTGGCAAACAACGTTTACCATGGGCCAGACGCACCGCTACACTTTCTCAATCATACACCCATAACCTAGAAACCGCGATATAATGGACGTGAATAAAACCTTTGTCTTTTGTCTGCAGCCGTCAGCCGAGCGCCATCAATGAAAAGGCTACTCATCACCTGCACTGTACATGGGTCTTGGACCCTCGACTGGTATATTGGCTTTACACAGTATAGTGATAAGGCCAATAGTACGTAGTGTACGGTGCACCTGTATGGTGGCCTGCCATGCGCAGGGTAACGTACCTACAGGAAGCAAGGTAAGGTACAGATTCGTCTGTCTGGGAGTCATGAAAAACCACTCCTTTGGAAATGGAGGCACTTCTTGGGAACTAGAACCTTTACACTTCGCGCTGTGGAGGCAGAGGCTCAGAAGGCTTCCATATGGCCAAACGATTGGGACGAGTAGAAGGATGAAGGCAGGTTTGAGCATGGGCGGACCTGGGAGGAAACCCTTAAAGCCGATGGCCTCCTCGCAAGAAAGGATGTGATTTGGGCTGCTTTACTAAAACCAAAGAGTTGTAGTCACTCTCCCGGACGGGAAGCAGTGACTGAACTCAGATTGCCCATTGCTCAAACTTGAGGGGCTAGTGTGGTTTACAGATGGGTCCCTAAAACAGAAAGGGGAATGGACATAGGTATATATGGTGATAGACCAAGCTGACATTAGTTTGTCCCCTCTGGTCAGCATAGCACCGTGTTTCAGGCAGAGATGTTAGTCATCATGACCTGAGCAAAGGAGAATCTCCATAGAAGTTACGAAAGGCGAATCTAATAGAGTAAGCTTGATCTGGGTGCCAGCGGACTACGGAATAGGGGGCAACGAAAGGGCGGACTAGCTGGCTCGCGAAGACAGTGGTGCAGTCTTCGTCGGCCCCGAGCCTACTCTAGGAATTGCTTCATCTGTTGTATCTGGGTCATGATTAAAGATAGAATGACCAGTCTATTTCAGGCCCAGTGGCAATAAGCTACTGGAAGCGCCTTTTTAAGAGGGACCCTTGGCAAATCTGGGTCTTCAAGCTTCTAAAATTGAATAGAAACCAGATTAAGATCACTGTGGTGTCCTCAACATGGAGCACTCAATAGTCAACTACCACCTTCACAACATTCAGCTGGTACGAAAGTCAACGTGCAGGTTCTATGGCGAGGGAGATAAACCTATACCGAGCATGTGATCTGTCACTGTAACGCCCTGATCAGAGATAGATCCTTGGCGAGAGTTATCAGGAACCGAGGAGGATCATACTAACTTAGGCTCAACAAGGTCCTATCCTTTATTGAAAGGAACAGGCTCTAAACCTGGTTGCAAAGAAAAGGGGGTAGGTACAATAGGCCTTTGCTATGCCTAGTCCGGCTCCCCTTATGAATAGAATCGAATAGGGCTAAATGATAGGGACGAGTCGAAGACTCGAGGCAGCCTTGGGCGCAAGCGGATCTGGGAGGAAACCCTCAGAATCGATCTCGGCCTCGCAAGAAGGGCGGCCTTATCAAGACCAAAGAGTTATATAAAGTCAATCTCCCAAATATGGAGCAGTGGCTGAACTCAGATTACCCGTTCCTCAAACGCTGAGGGGTTGTGTGGTTTACAGACGGATCCCTAATAACGGAAAGGGGAACGGGAATATATGGAGATCGACCAAGAGCTAACATCAGCTTCTCCCTTTGTCAGCATACGGCGTACGAGCTGACTCGTGTATGCGGTGGGTAGGGTCCAAGCCTACCCTAAGAATTGCTCCGTCCGTTGTCAGGGCCGAGATTAAAGACTGGATGACCAGTCAAACCCAAGCAACCTGACATTCCAGGGGCCCCTTGGCAAACATCGGTCTTCTAAAACTGAATAGTAGCCAGATTAGGAAGATTTTTTTTTATTTTATTATCCCTCTCTTGTTTTTGGGCCCTCAACAGGCATGCGCCCAATTACAGAGTGACCCGCATAATGCTTCAAGATCATTGGTGTCCTCACAGAGCAGTGGATAGTCAACTATCCCCCGCACAACAGTGGGGTGCAAATTCTGTGGCGAGGCAGATGAAACTACCGAGCATGCAGTTTGTCACTGTGGGGCCTTGGTCAAAGACAGACATCAGCTCCTTGGCGACAGCTATCTGGAACCAGGGAGAGTGAAGCAACTTAGCATAAACCGAGTCCTATCCTTTATTGAGAGAGAGAGATGGGTCTGAACCTGGTTGAACTATGTGAAAAGCTATCTATTGGCATAGAGTAAATAATGTAATTTACTCTATGCTATTGGCCATACAGGGAATTATTGTGAAACCAGCAGAATGATCTGCGAACAAAAGAGATGACCTTAAATTTCGGATGGGACTTAGTAAAGCAAGAGTCATGGACGATAAGAACCTGGACAAAGTCTGTAGCTGAGCGCCATCCATAAAAAGGTTACCCGCCACCCTCAAGTCGCAACCGATAATAGGGACCCGTATGACATAATCCGGTTAATAAGTGGAAGAACAGGGTGTTATTATACTAAAGTTGAAGCTGGAGTAATACCAACTTGGAAATTTCGTTTCTCTGTAGCAGGGGCAGACTGGGTACTTATGGGTCAGACAAAATTACAGGGGAAGGTCGCCCACCACAAGAAATTGCATTTTAAAGGATAGTGCCTGAAGTAATAGTCTTTTCATAACTTGATAAATGATAAACCTAACTTCAACACCCAACACTAATAAGTTTCCATTACTTCAAATCGAAGCATGGCAGATGAAAGAACCCCTTTTAATAGAGGGAAACATAGAGGTCGCTATAAGCTAATTGTTTACAGCATGTAAGAAGTTAAACTCTGCAAAACATGATTGCTAGAATGTTTCAGAAAATCGTCCACAGCAATGAAATGGGAGGCAAAGCAGATTGGTTGCTACTGTATGCAATACATTAATCGGTAAAAATCCCCTCCTCTTGACTTACCCACCCAGTAGTATATGATGGTGTACAAATCCCTCCACCATGAAAGATTACAATGATCATCAAGCACAGTTCAGAAAAGGATATGGTCAAATATATCCTAAGAAATGGACACTTTATTTGGCAAATTAGCAAATACAATGAAAAAATTTAACAAGAATAATTTTTATTGTGTTAAAAATGAAAAATAAATATCATAAGATAATACTGCCAATAAATAAATTGTGATGGATTTTGCTTTACATTAAAACTAAATGGAACAAAAACATTTACACTCATCATTTACACAACATGGCCCCTAAATTATGAGAAATAACAAAATCTATCGCAACCAGGATTAGTAAAATTAGAGGTAAAAATACGAGCACCAATTTATAACTGTAACAATTTCCAATATTACGGCTACTTACGAAATAATCCCGGTTACGATATAACAACAAACAAATTAATAATACATAAAATCAGACTCTTACATTTGTAATGTAATTTTGGAATGTTACGTAAATTGTAAAATGACAATTACTTAGTGGAGTAATAAAAATACATTTTGATTGCACGACTTTTTGAACTTGTACAATGATTATTACTACTTTAGCAGCAGATTGAGGTAAGATCACAGATTTATAAAAGCTATTTGTTATTAACAAATATCCATCGAAATTAATTGCACCATAATTACTTTCGAGCTTCTACTTTTACAGCTCTGTACTATTTAGTTCTCAAAAATTAAACGAGGGTGGAACCTTGCCATATACAAAATCTACTATTTTTAAGTCTACTAATTTTGATAACGACATGAAAGTTTTATTGAATTATTACAAAATGCAGTTCCACATAAATACAAAGTTGGTTTTTGACACACAGTAATTCTATACGTAATTCGTGTAGGCAAAGGTAAAATAAAAATTGGTTAAACGGCCCCGGTGATCGATTTCACACGCACCTTGGAATCAAAAGCAACGGATTGAATATGTGCGTTTATAAATGATAGTTCAGCTTGACATTCCAGCTTATTCGAATCAAGGCCAGATTGTCTGCGGCTTAAACATGTTTTTTAGGAACACTGTATACAAATATGGAGTAAATCTTCCAAATTAAAATCCCTGGGTGTATAGTTGTAAAAACAACAAACAAATACCACTTGTCATGTACGTTAATTAAATTCGAATACCAATTGACAGGTCTAAATGATTGAATTCAATGGTCTTAATTACTGCTTTCCATTTGAGTGAAAGAGGAGCTCTAAGCTGTACCGTGCACGATGCCCTGTGTTCCTTTTAAGAAAGCTTCGAGCTCTGACGCGCCCGAAATTGGATTTCCCTTGTCCCCTCATGCACCACCTATTTTCTTGGGGCTTGTAACACTTTTGTGGTTATTTACGTACTGTGAATGTCAATTCAAATGTGTTAAAAATGAACAACTTGCAAAATGAGCTGCTCCGAACGAACTGCACCAGAGCTTCACGCACTCAAATGGAAAGCAGTAAATGTAAGTTACCAAGACAGTGGCCACTGGCCAGTACAAAATCTCATTCTTTAAAAAAATACTGAATTTGTTTAGTGTACAGGGTGTTTCAACTAAAATTTGAGGCTTCCCAACTGATATTGGTACCCGTTAGCTTCCACTAGTATCCAACAAATGATTCTAGTAACATGTTACCAACTAAACTCCAAAATTTGAATACTAAGAAATCCATAGTAAGAGACAAAAGATACTAATTCGAGGCCACGGGACTGTGAATTTTATTTGTTATTTTTACAACTTATTTTGACATAAATATAAAATTCTGTGTGTTCGCGTGTGAAAACAAATGTACAAGGTGTGTTGAAACGAAATGCACATAAGCGAAAGTTGATTGGATTAATAATTTTAATTTGACCGTATAAGTGAGTTTTGGAATGTGTTCGGTGAAAGTGTTCAGTTTTACGGAATCAATGTACAGCATTTTCCAAGACACCTTGAGTTTGATTAAGTAACTAAGTTGGTAATTCTACGTTACCTTACTCGATAATTAATTGCACTGTAAATTATGCAATTGACTTGAAAGTTGTAATTATTCTAAATTCAATCTACAATATGTAAAAAGTATGACTACACCAGACAAATGATCTTAACCTTAATTATTATAAGCAAAGTAAGGGAACATATAGATCTTTGGCATTACACTTTTCTTTATATATATTGACAATACTTCTGCAGTCTTCTATTTCACCTATCTAGTGTTATAATACTACAGTTCTGTGCTTATGAAACGATTGTAAAACGAAAACAAAACACTTTTCGACCTTCCTCTACCAATATACACACATATCAATATTATTCAACACAAATATTCAGGTTTCGTTGTATGCCTATATGAACACGTACGGTGAGTTATGCTTCTGACTTCGTTCAACACATCATGAGAGAAAAAGTTACATTCGTAATCGCTATTGCTAGTTGGTTACTTTAAGGACGTCATTTTAATTGAACAATATTGATGTGCTTATATACATCTGCGTTTATTATACACTTAAAGGAAGCAAATACAGGTCACTACTCACAGTTACTCACAATTTACTTATGTTTCTAATGGAAATCCGAACCATCAATTTATACTTCTTGATGGCTTAATTATACAGGGTGGTGACTTGCGTAACGGATCATAGCGATTTCAATGTAAAATTCATAACATGCGATTATTGGCTCCCCAAATTATTTTAGAGCAAAAATATATTAAGGTTTTTTGTAGGAAATTTTTTTTTACGTCAATCAACCGTATTAGTTTTCAATTTTTGCATAATAAAGACGGAAAATTGGAAAAATAGAAAAATATCTTTTGCAATAATCTGTGATACCATGGAATTTTATAATACAAAAAGAACGCCAATATCCGTCATGCCATGGAATGTCTGCTATAAAACAAATCAAATTCTATCAACATAAAGACAGACCAAATTACTAAAAACGGTTTCCTAATATAACAATTTACAATAAATGTTCGAATATGTCACCATTAACTGCAATACAGTAACCAAGTCGATCATAAAATCCATTTCGAACTGCTGCCAATTGATAACTGGACATCTATTTGTTTTAGAAAATTCCATGGCATCGCAGATTATTGAAAAAGATGCGGGTTTTATTTTTCCAATTTTCCGTCTTGATTATGCAAAAAATTGAAAACTAATAC